ACTGCTCCAGTTATTCGCATAGATTGAGAGCTCTAGCCCAATTAGGCTAAACAGCAGAGAGCGGGAGAGAGGGAGAGGGGCAGATGGGCTCGATTGAGTGGGTCGGCAAGCACAAAGGTTTGTTTTATTCTTAGAAAGACAGCGTTACATCCTTGTAACGCGATAAAGTGTCAATAGAAATCGGCAAACGTCAAACAATGTTCGACAATTGTCAAACCATATCGTCAACATAATCTTTCATTGTTTAAACTGCACGCAGGTGGGGCGAGGGGGCAGACGGGCCGAGGGGCAGGCAGTGGGAGACGAGACCTTATCAACATGCGGCGGTGTTGTCAAAGTCTAGGCGAGCTCGTGTGCGGGCTGAACAGAAAGGCAGAGAGAGAGTGAGAGAGAGAGAGAGGGAGAGAGAGAGAGAGTTTGATCTGGGGAATTGGCGAATGGAGCTTGGCTTGGCTCGACTTGGCCTGGCTGCTGTGGCAAACAAAGTCTTCAAGCTGCATTCAAGCATTCAGGCAGGCAAACATTGTCTCTCTCTCTCTCTGTCTCTCCCCGTCTCTTTCTCTGCCCTTCTCATCTTTGACTCAGCGTCCATTCATAGTTCCACTCGTTGTATTTGCGCTCAACTCGAATGAGGCACGCAGCAGCTTCAAGTGTTTGCCATGTGTCGGCGCTTTGATCTCTCGGTCATAGTCACAGTTCACAGTTCACAGTCACAGTCACAGTCACAGTCACAGCTTGTGGCTGCTTTAATTTGTATAAAAGTTTTTTTCTTTTTGCCAAAAACTTTTTTGCTGTTTGTCTTCAATTTGTTTTGTTCGTTCGCTTCAAACGAAACGCCGCAGATCGATTGTTGCGCGCGGCTCATTCATCGATGCGATCGTTATCGAAATTAGATAACGATAACAGCTTGTTCGGCTGTTGTGAAACACGACTTAATTACGAACCACGCACCACGACCCCCTCTGCCCCTGCTCATCCCTGGGACATCTGTGCAGCCTCCTCTTTGATCTACAGCGGAGAGGGGCGCACGAGCAGTTCCACTCAGGGCCGCCGCTATTTTTGGCTGTTTCTTGCGGTCTATTGGAATTCGACTGCGTCTTCGCCTGCCTCCTTTGCGGCTGTGCAATTTATCAACGCGCAGTTCAAAGCGAGTGCGAAAATAGCAAAATGATTGCGAATCGACAAACGATACGCGAAACACATCTCTCCCGAGATCAGTTCCAGATAATAGCGCTATATATATAGCATGTATACATATATATATTAATGGGTACAGCTATTTGTAAGAAATAATTAACTCGGACTCAGAGTCCTCTTCGCACAGTTGCCAGAGCCAAGAAGTCAGCGCGCTCTAGGCGGAAGTGAACGACTAGGAAATACCCGACAAATCCAATAATCGATTAATGTAAAGAATAAATGAATGTATCGAACAGAAATGATTAAGAAATAAACATTTATAAGGTCAAGTCTATAGCTTCGAGACTTATCAGAGATCAGAGATCGACTCAGGAATATCTACACTTTATGCAGTCCTCCACGTCTCTGAGTTCCCATTCCCAAAGAGCTCTGAGTTTTCTTTAATTTGTGATCCTTAAGCTTTCATTGTCAGCAACTACTCCACAAACCCCTAGTCATAGACAGCTAATGTGAACTTGTTCCTTATCCCATTGCAGATTCTGGCAGCGAATCGGGCTCACACAAAAGTATTAGGGATAAGCGTCCATCGGGTCCCTCGGACGGCAAGCCCACGCGAGTGCGAACTGTGCTCAACGAGAAGCAGCTGCATACCTTGAGGTGAGTGCCGCAGTTGGCACGGCCAGCAGGGCTCCACTAAACCGAACTTTGCTCTTGCAGAACCTGCTACAACGCTAATCCGCGACCTGATGCGCTAATGAAGGAGCAGCTGGTTGAGATGACGGGCTTGTCGCCGCGTGTCATACGCGTCTGGTTCCAGAACAAGCGCTGCAAGGACAAGAAGAAGACAATTCAGATGAAGCTGCAAATGCAGCAGGAGAAGGTAGACACCCAACACCAACCCCACCCCTAACCCAACCCCACCCCCCACCCCCATCTCTCACTCTCTGCGCTGCTTGCCTCGGCCTAGACATATCATTCACAAGTTCCTTTGCTTTGCTTTCCAGGAGGGTCGCAAGCTGGGCTATGGCGCCATGCAGGGCATCCCGATGATTGCCAGCTCACCTGTGCGCCACGACTCACCTCTGAATCTGCAGGGACTCGACGTGCAGACATATCAACCGCCATGGAAAGCCTTAAGCGACTTTGCCCTGCACGCCGATCTCGACAGCAACGGGGCCATCAACACGCACACGCCCGCGTTTCAGCAGCTCGTCAATCAGGTGAGCAAAGCTAGTTCCTGCTCTCGAGATATATATATATATATATATATATATTGTATATAGTGGGTAGAGTCTATAGAGATCCATATGCATAGCTCTTGGAGTGGAACCTGAAAGTCAATATAGAACAGAATATTTATATGAAAAGCCAGCACTATATTGAGCTTGTCTGGAACTAGTTCTTTTTTGGAACAAGTTCTTTATGTGAAGTGTTTTGGAGTAAATACACAATAAGTTGAAATGAGTTGAATCAGTCATTGTGAACCAGTGCTTAGGCTATATTGATGCGGAACTTGTTCCAACTAATAGTTGAGGTCATTTTGAGTTTATTCAAAATATTATATAATATATATCAAGGCAAGCAATTAACCAACAGTTGGGAACCAGTTAAGAACCAGTTGTGAACCAGTTATGAACCAGTTCATAATTTATGCTAAGCAATCTGTGCTAAGTTACAATTAATATTCCATTGATATGAAGATGGAGTCGTGTTACTAGTGAACTAGTTCCTAAACCAAAGTCAATTGGAACTAGTGCCAGCTTAAGCTTGAGCTTATTATTAGAATATTGTTTTGAAAGTACAGCATAATGTCTAAGCCGACTTTCAAGTTCATGTGAACTAGTTCGTAAGGCAAAGTCGAAGCAAGCAATTGTAAAACAAAGCTTAAATAGCAAAGATTCAATAGTGAACTAGTTCATGTAACTAGTTCATCGGCCTCTCTCTCCGCTAGTGCTAATCTCTGCCTCTTGTGCCTTTCAGATGCACGGCTACGACTTGAACGGAATGCCCGTGCTGCCGCCGCATCCGCCGCAGGGACCGCATCCTCCGCCGCCGGGTCAGCAAATGAACGGGCCGCCCGGCGGGAGCAGCTTGGACTCGGGCATAACGTCGCACCACCATCCGGACAGCACCGATTCGTATGTGACGTACCTGGAGAGCGATGACAGTATGCAAGGCAGTCCATAGACAAAACGTACCGAATCTAATCTCAGCTTCTTTTGTTGCTCCAGAATCCAAGCTGGCGCTGACGCCATCCTCCTCGTCATCGGCATCGGCGGCCACATCGATCTCATCGCCGCCGTCGTCCGCAGTGGTGGGGGGTGCAGGGGCCAATCTTGTGGGCGTGGGCGTGGGCGTGGGCATAGGTGTGGGCATGGGCGTGGGCATGGCCGATGGCAATCAATCGGCCACGGAGCAACTGATGCAAATGCTACAGAAAGTTACCGGCTCGCCGGCATCAGTTCTCTGAGCTTGGGAGCGTGGCGGCTGCGATGGCGAGGTTGAGGATGTAAATGCAGCTGCTGCTGCTGCTGTTGCTGCTTCTGTTAAACAGCGCAAACAGCTCGCGGGCTTGTGCAATGTGGCTAATGAAGCCGTTGCGCCTCGTCTCAGTTTTTGATTCGGTGCCAAAAACTAGTCTCTGGGCCAATTGGCTGGCATTCAAAAGTGGGTCTCCAGGCTCTCCCTCCCTCTCCCTGTTACTCTCTCTCTCTCTCTCATTCTCTCTCTCGCTCTAACTCTTTCTCTAACACTACCTCGGCCTCTGCCACGGTTGCGGGTGCGGGTTTCGGTACACAGAAAAAAAACATGGAGACAATTTCGAGTTTCAACTTTCATTTCATCGTTTTCTTTGTTATGTAATATACGTACGATTTTTGTTGTTCTTTAAATTAATTACGCAAAAAATGCAAAAAACAAAAAAAAAGAAATGCTCATACACTTGAAAAGTTTTAACAATAATTTCGCATTAAAAAACAAGCTCGTCAAGTAGGGAATTTCATTAAACACACACACACACACACAAATTGTAAATAATTTTTTATATATATACATACATATATATTTTCATTAAAAATGCAAAAACAAAAACAAAAACAAAATCGAAATTCATATGCGTACATTAAAAACCAAAATGGAAAGCAAAACGAGAAATTGACTATAAAAATTTAAAAAAAAACAAGAACCTCGTGTGTATTATATGAGTATATATATAAACTGCAAAGTAAACTAAACTATAACGAATTAAAAACAAATCGCACTTGGCCAGTTGTAAATCGAATTAACAAAAAACAAAAGTTACGTTAAGTTCATTAAATTGTATTAAAAACTAAAGAAAAATGAAGGAAAAAATATGACGGAAACGTATGTAAGTGAGAAAACTGTAACACTATATCTAGACTTATTTGTTAGTTTATATGATATATATATATATATATACATAAATATATATATATATATATATATATATATATATATATATTTCCATTAACACAAAAAAACAAAACGAATGCAAACTGTAAGGCAGCGAACGTACCAAGGATGTTTAATACATTGTTTCGTGAAACAACTAATGTATTTTCAATAATATTTAAATAATATTAATAATAAACAGTGCATAAGTAATTTTAGTAACTATAGAAAATGTTTAAATGAAATTACAAACGAAAATAAATAACAAAAATCAGCATAAATTAAATTATGGTACTTTCTTGCAATTTCAAATTCAAACTGCGCGCGTATATAATTGTTACAGCAAGTGCTGCCATCTTAGTTGATTACGAAGCACTGCTGAATCGCAGCCAACTTCAAGTGTGCGCAAAATTGCGCGCAGCCAACTTCGTGTGAGTTAAATTGTGCGCGCAGCCAACTTCAAGTGAGCAAAATAGTGCGCACAGCTAACTTCGCGTGACAGGCACATAAATAAGTTTAAAATACATTTTTTATTCGGTCTTAAAATATATATATTAAATATTGATAGCAATGTCTATAGCTAAGCGTGTGCAGGTTTGTATAGGAAAAACGTAGAATGTGGACATATTAATTAAGCATATTGCTTACAGCAATGGGCGACATTTGCGCGTACCTGGCACATTTACGATTGCACCTGGCAAAATCCTTTTGAGTCCGCGCAACTGGTGAAAACACACTTGATGGGCCTACATAAGCCTATTTATCATCCAATGAGTAAGTAAAATGTATAAATAATATGATTTATTATAGTTTTAAGTGAAAACGTGTGAAAACCCGCGAGTTGCTGTGCGCTTCGTTACGTCACTAGCGCCTTCATTGTTGTGGTTGTTGTGAATTATATGCCGGCTGCACGAAAGTTGAATGAAGAATTGTGAATTCCGAAGCCAGTTCTAGGTTAGCTTAATACCAATATGCTCCAGGCCTAACTTAACCAACATGTTTTTGTAGATGACTGCGGCGACCATGTGGTGCTGATCAACACAAAAGAAATAGCGCTGCCTGGCGACGAGTGGGTGAAGCGGGTTTATTTCCATCACACGGGCTATCCAGGTGGAGCGTCCTGGACACTGGCTTGGCAACTGCACGACAAAGATCCCACGATGGTCATGAAAAAAGCGGTCTACAATTCCATGAGGGGTAATCTGCAGCGCAGGCACACGATGCAGCGATTGCATCTGTTTGCTGATGACCAGGTGCCAGAGGAGATTCTCTCGAATGTAACAAACCAAATACGCACACCTCGCACAGTGCCCCAGCGATTGGATCATATTGATAAGGAAACGCTGGAGAACTTCCCTGCCATTATGGATTATCCCAAGGACTATGTGCTGCGCTAAGATGACTCAGTATTGTTAAGCAAAATATAATATTGTTATTTACAAACGTAAGCATTGAATTTTAATGCCTGCTGCAAAGGAGCTTCGTATAATTTCAGGAGAAATTATTGGAGCATCCCTCGCAGCAGGAACACAGTCCGAATTAAAATACAGTGGCAAGGGTAAACAGAAGTTAATAACAGCAAACGGTAATTTGAATAGCAGTGTATAGACAATGATATATTTAGTTATATCGATACATATCGTATCGATAGCGTCTGTGTAGCCCTGGTTTTACTTTGTTTTCGGCTGCCGGCAGTAAGCAGTGAATTGCATTTATACTCAATTTTATTAAGCAACGCCCACCTAATTTTTAACTGGTGTGATCATCAATTATTGCGTCTTAAGTTTTCCGCAAGCGCAACAGCTGGTGAGAATTGTATTAAATTGTTACTCGGCTATACTCTATCGCACATTTCGAACACTTGATTAAAGCTTACGATTTTATCTCGCTCTCTCCCTCGCTTTTCGCATTGTTGGCCGCAGTCTCCAGACGAACATTGTGCACGACACAACTGCAGAAAGAGTTTCAGCAAACGCAACTGTTGCCCATTTATCAGGTGAGAAAACGTAATATGGGTCGTTTGAGCAGCGTCGATCCCAGCTCCTACTCCGAGCCGGAGCTGATTACCACCGAGCACAGCGCTATCCATTGGAAAGTGGATTTCGACGCAACGAAGCTGCGCGGCAGTGTCCTGCACAGATTCAATGTGCTGTCCAGTAATATAGAGAATATTGTGAGTAAATCAGCACTAGTACTTTACGGCTAAACTAACTAAAAAAAAAAACTAATTAACTAACTAGCTTCTGGATGTACGTGACATAGATGTAAAGAACGCCACGTTGCTTGCTGGGGGCTCGGAGCAGCCTATTAATTACTTCATCAGCGATCCCGTGCCCGATATGGGTCAGAAGCTCACGCTGGAGCTGCCAGCAGGCACAGCAAAGGGCAGGTAGGGGAACACTCGATAAGCTAGCTAGCGATCTAATCTTTATGGCACCTGTAAATAATGCCACTTATAATCATATCTGTATCGCAGTCTTAACGTACGCATTGATTACGAGACGGCTAGCAACGCAAGCGGGCTGCAATGGCTGAACCCCAATCAGACGTTGGGCAAGCAGCATCCGTACATGTTCTCGCAATGCCAGGCCATACACGCTCGGTCCGTGATGCCCTGCCAGGATACGCCAGCTGTGAAGTTCACCTACGATGCCGTTGTGGAGCATCCCAAGGAGTTGACCGCACTGATGAGTGCGCTGATCGATAAGAACGAGCCGGGCAAGACCCACTTCAAACAGGAAGTGCCCATACCAGCGTATCTGGTTGCAATTGCCATTGGCAAACTTGTGTCGCGCCGATTGGGCGAGAACTCGAATGTGTGGGCCGAGGAGGCTATTGTTGATGCCTGTGCTGAAGAGTTCTCGGAGACATCGACAATGCTGAAGACCGCCTCGGATTTGTGTGGGCCGTATGTGTGGAAGCAATACGATTTGCTTGTGATGCCACCTTCATTTCCATTTGGTGGCATGGAGAATCCTTGCTTGACCTTTGTCACTCCCACTCTGCTGGCCGGAGATAAGTCCTTGGCTAATGTGGTTGCCCACGAAATCGCCCACAGCTGGACGGGGAATCTTGTGACCAACAAGAACTTTGAGCATTTCTGGCTAAACGAGGGCTTCACTGTTTTCGTCGAATCCAAGATTGTGGGCCGCATGCAGGGCGCCAAGGAGCTGGACTTCCGAATGCTCAGCAACCTCACTGAGCTACAGGAATGTGTAAGTAACAGCTATTACATATAGATATGAGCCAAGCTGATATGGACTTCTTTTTTGCAGCTACGCACTCAACTGGCTGGTACACCGGAGCTAACACGACTGGTTGTTGACTTGAGTAACTGCGGTCCGGATGATGCCTTCTCCTCAGTACCTTACATCAAGGGCTCCACTTTCCTGCGCTATTTGGAGGATTTGCTTGGAGGCCCGACTGTCTTTGAGCCGTTCCTGCGCGATTATCTGAAGAAGTTCGCATACAAATCTATTGTCACAGATGATTTTAAGAGCGCCCTGTACGATTATTTCAAGGACACGGACAAGAAGGATAAGCTGGGTGTTGTTGACTGGGATTTGTGGCTGAAGAGCGAGGGCATGCCGCCCATCATACCAAAGTATGCAAGCTAAATTTGTAACAATTGAAATATTTAATGGTAAATATAATTTTCAGATTCGATGAGTCCCTTTCCAATGTGACCAAGGACCTTGCCAACCAGTGGAGCTCTAAGACTGTGGATGAATTGGCCAAGAGTAAGGATATTAACCAGCCCATTTCCATACACCAGTTGATTGAATTCCTGGGAAAACTGATTGAGAGCAAAACCATTGTTGAGCTAAACGAACGCAAAATCGAGCTGCTGGAAAACACATACAATCTAAAGAATTCAAAGAATGCCGAAGTGCGCTTCCGTCTCAATCGTTTGATCATACGTGCTCGCCTTATCCAGCGTCTGGACGAGATTATCGAGTTTGCCAACTCGAATTTCCGCATGAAGTTCTGCCGTCCCATTTATCGGGACTTGGGCGCCTGGCCAGAGGCCAAGCCAGCAGCTGTGAAGAATTTCCTCAATGTCAAGGATCAAATGATGGCCGTCTGCTCGCACACCATCGAAAAGGATCTGGGCTTGAAGGAAACCTAAATTGCATTTTATGAAGTTCAACTTGAGGATGGTTTGAAAATCAAAGAAAAAGACTAAAAATTAAACAAAAATTTCAGTATATATTATTCTCTGGCTTTTCTTGAATTATTGTTTTTATTAAAAAATAAGCAAAACTACGTTTATAACAAGTTGATTTTCCATTTCCATGCTCATTGTATGCGACTCCTTTAAATGTATTTTGTCATCTCTCAAATTTAATTTTGTTGCATTTCGAATCTGTGGTAAAATTTTGTGTCTTTTGTTTTGTTTTTAAACATTTTGTGCAATTGGCCCAAAGCATTGCCAATTCTCGTGTTACTTTCCATTCAAATTGGGAATTTCTTTCGTCAGTTTTTGAATCAGTTTCGACTAACATTAAATTTTGTACAACTAACCAAATGTTGCTCAAGTTTTCGGGTCCTATGCGACAATTATACTTTTAATGCCTTTTAACTTAGTTATATTTTTTGTTTTGGTTTCTTCTTCTTTTCTATTTGTTGTTCATCTTGGTTTAAATTCTTTAAAGTTCTGCTCGTAAATACACACACACACACAGATATTAAATTTATTATTGTTTTTGCTTGCATTTTGTTTTTCAACTTTACGAGTTTTGCTTTTACTTTTGTTTAAACTAATCAACAATTTGTTTTGTTTCTTTTGTTTGTTTTACATTGACCAAAATGCAACTTCAACATTTTTGTTGTGGACAAAGTATTTGTTATATAAATTTGTTGTTGCTGTTGTCGTTGAGGAATAAAAACTATCACGCACTAGAATTATCATTGGAACGGGATGTGGATGGACCGGCACCCAGATCATCTCCCACAACGAACGTGGGACTCTGGCGGGACGTGGACGTGGCAACCGGCTGGTAGTGATAGCCCTCGCGATAACGCTGATTCGGTTTCATCCGTGCGGTTTGTGTGTGACCCAATGTTGGGCGCTGGTTTAGCTCATTGGGTCGTTTGGCTGCAATCGAGACGAGACGTCAGTAGAGTGGTCAATATAATCTCCATACAACAAATGAGTCAAACGTATTAAAATCTAATAACTATTCATAGTTAGGACATTTTAGGCCAAGTGCTGAACACTTAAGCCAATGCAGGCAACTCTTGCCAAGAAACTATAGCATACTTTTAAGCTGAGTTTCATTCTCAGATATTTGATACCTGATTTGTAAGAGGAGTTAAGATAATGTTTGAGGATACTTAAAGCGAATAGTCTTATTATATTCATCTGCACTTAAGCAAGTAGAAGAACAATTTGAATAGTCGGAAATTATGACACAGACTAAGAGCTAACAATTCTATCATCCCATCATTTTCTACTGCTACATACGTAGCTTAGATTCGCCTACTTACAACTTACAGCTCTACAACTCACCAGGTATATAAGGCTTTTGATTATAGGACGATTGTTGTTGTTGGTTATATGCATCGGGCGCCGTGGCATTGCCATTGGTCTGGCTGCTGTGCTGATAGGGCGTCAGACTGTGGCCAGTGTCTGGCTGTAGCTGCAGATCGGTGCTGTTTATGGGACTCATCGGCGTCATTTCGCGATCTTCGATAAACAGTTCGCTGGCATCGTCGGGCACCTGGCGATACTGCGACCAGGGCCAGGAGGCGATGCCCGACAACAGCAGCGCCTCCAAGGCGCAGATGTAGCCAATTAGCTAAGCAAAATTAAATTAGCTGAATTCGTCCTGTATAATCGCGGCTACTTACGCCTGTGGCTAGTAACGTGTCCTTGGAGTGCTTGGATACCCAGGTGTACTCGGTCGCATAGAGCACCATGTGGACGAGCAGCGTGGAGCTCAAAATAAATATTAAACCAATGCTCAGGTACGTCCACGTGTTCTAAGGGATGCATATAGAGATATAGTTAGTTCTTATACGCATTCCGATTAGAGTTGCCCACAGAGATTACGTATACGTACCACCTTCGTCCAGTTGAATGGGAACATTAGCGCTATGTGCGATATATCGAGAAAGATCATGAGGCATGTGATGAGTAGCGAGAAGAGCGCACAGAAGACCATCAGCCTCAGGCGCCCGATGAGTGGCAGTAGAAAGAGGCCGACCTGTACGGTGCCCGCGGAGCACTCGCAGGCAAGACAGACGGCCGAGGATAACTATCAACATGAGAGGATAGTAAACTAGTTATTAGCTGTTACGATTATAGTCTGGGGCATAGCTTACCACCAGTAGTATGCGCACAATCCCTGTAGGCGTTTTCAAGTGTTGCGGATCACAGTGTAGGGCGACGCCCCATGGCAGCGGCGTTTGTTGTTGCTGTTTGTAGTTGGCGTGCGAGTCCCAAGAGGTGCATGTGCCCAGTGGCGATTCGAGTGAGAGCGAGAGCTCGCCGGCTCTGCTGCCAGCTATTTCAAAGTCCTGCTCATCGTCCAGCTGACAGCAGACCGGCTCCAGCTCCAGCTCACGTATCTCGTCCAGCAGCAGTTCTATCTCGTCCGTGCCATATAGATCAGATACAGACGGTATATAACGTTGGGGTTGTTGCATTGCCCGTTGCGGGATGTGTCCCACATCACCGTTGCGTGGCCTGGGCGTACAAAATTGGATGCCTACAACGGCGTTCTATCGCGTCTCTGTCTAGCTCGCCTTTCCTCGAGCCTAGTCTAGTTACTAGTCTTGCTCTATGAATAGCTGTTGCCTGCGTCTGCAAAGGAGTACATGTTGGTTAAGAGTTGGCTGTATTGATATTATGTAGATAAGAGCTGTCTCTGCTTGCCTCAAGGCTCTCCGGTCTCCGTTAGGCATACGCCAGGTATGCTACAGCAAGAACAGAGTCGGGCAGTCAAGAAATGCTTGGACTTGATTATATTACGTTTCAGGACATTAATTCGGTTATTCATGATTTTATAAATCACATAAAAAAACATAAATATATATATATATATTAAATGGAATATAATGCACACGTAGCAGCATTTGTGATCCATTCGGTTATCCATAAGGTTTAGCCGTACCAACATTTTCTCATTTGTCTCCTGCCTGTCAAGTATTTCAATTCCAAGTTGTTGCAATTTTAATTGTTGTCAATTATACTAGTCAAATATACTAGGACATTGCATAGTTGGAAACCAATATGCTGGCATATTTAGCACCTTTTTCAGTCTTAGGGTATTTGGCTACACTGTTCCTGATTTTAATTTTAATTTTGAAAAATTTCATTGGAATTGAGTCATAGATTATTATCAATAAATTCCACCAGCCACGCAAGAGCATTTAAACGCCGACCTCACCTCTGTGTGCCACATAAGGTTTATTTTGACGTTGTCTGATTTTTATTGTGATACCAGGTGAGTTGTCAGTTGGCAGTTGGCTGCCAACTCGAAATGAAATCAAATTGAATTTCGACCTGGCCCCTGCGCGTATGCATGTTTTTTTTTATGTCACACACCCAGGCAATTAACACAGAGACAAATCAGTGTGTGTGTGATGTGATGCCTGCATGAAAGCAACTCCATGGAGAATTTTTGGTACATTTCAGGCCTTGCCAAAAGCTGACTGCCTGGCTGGCCGCATTTCCTTGAGTTGTCATAATCAGGACACAAATGAAGGTAGCTTTTCATTGCTGTTGTTGCAGCACAAGGGCTCGCTGCTGGCAGCGGGACAACAAAAATGGGCAGCTGCCACTGGCTGGCCAGTCAACCTGCTGCAGAGGATGCCACAGGCAGCTGCCTGACTGCCTGCTGCACATATGCGAGACTGTAGATGTTCGTATGCCTGTATGTGTGTGCGAGAGTCGACAGGCAATGTAACCATTTGTGCTCTCGTTCGTTGTTTGAACGTGAAGTTGTTGTCGTTGCTGCCGCCGTTGTCCTTGCTCCAGTTTAGCGTCAGGCTTTGCCGCTCTCGTACCCGCTCCCCGCTCCCCTCTCCCTGTTGCCTGCTGCTCTGCCTGCTTATCTCCGCCCTGTTATCGCTGCAGATATGCAGTGGCTGCATCAAGTGCCTAATGAGTGCGCGCTCGCCTTTCATCGTATCTTTCATCCCCATCATCATTCTCCTTACCATCTTCATCTTCATCTACAGACGTGCTCTATCTATTGAGGCAATGCGCTTATAACATTAAGCTCTTCAGCCATAGACAATGAAGCGTGCCCTTCTATTGCTCGCCTACCCAAGCCAATGCCTTTCAGGCTTTTTGCACAATTTGAAATCAATTATGCTCATCTGCATATAAACTGACTTGTTCTAGGGGCAAGAACTTCTGCCACTCTGATCCGCTGCGCCACCTAGTGTCAGTGCCTGGTTATAAACTGACTTAGAGTTGGAAAGGGGGCGGCCTGATCCACTGCTCCTGCAGCGCCACCTAGCGGAAGTGCTTTGCATGCAAATTTATTGTCAATGCTTCATTCGCTTCGACTTTGGACACCAATTGGGCGGGGCTGCAATAGCAGTTGGGGCACAGTTGGGGGCTCAGTTGAGGTGCCAACGCTGCTGCATTTCTTATTTATGAACGTGCATAGACAATGCTCGGCCTTTGTTTGAGTTTGAGCTCATATTACGAGTAGACCTCTATATAGCTTTTTCTACATATATGTACATAATGCTCGTCTGTCCGTGTATATAAGTCTACTCGAGCGTCAGCCTTTGTCGCATTCAATGGACCGAAAGTTGCACCGTAAATAACTTTTAATAGAATTTCTAATGGTCTGCTATTTGGGCGTGGGGCCAAGCCAGCGCACAGACATAAATATGGTTTATTTTTTTGAGTGTATTTTAATACAGCAATATTATGCGGATATCTTTGTCCAATCAATCATGATTTAAGTTAAGCTCAAGGCATTTTAATATTTATTTAATTGATTTTTTAGGTGTATGGATTCTAGATATGCATATATATACATATATATACACTGTAAAATATCATGGACAATTTCTTTTGAATTGTTTTCGGATTTATGTGTGAATTGTGAGACTTCAGCTCAGCTTCTCGTTGATATACTCTTTGTCTATATGCAGCTAGCTGAGCTGAGCCACATGCCGTATGAGCTATATTTTTGTATATTGTATTCAAATTAATTATTTCTTTTTATATATTTTTTTTGGGTCAGAAGCTTGGTTGTCTGTGTTCATATGCAGCTCCCAACTAGCCTTATGGACTAGGGAAAGTAAATGAAGATGATACAGACTGGAATGTCTAGCGAGAGTAATATTCATATAAATTATTATAAATTAGTTGGCAATGATACTCATGATCTTTGGCTAAAAGTGAGTAGCATAAAAACTAGATCGTTATGGCTATTAATTCAGTTGAATTGGCTTCATTATATCAATACATGAAAATCTGCCCCAACTTCGACGAGCTCAATTCTGCAGCAAGTTTTACACTTTTATCTGTTTACTACTTATACAATATTTATAGCATTAACTTTGTAAAACTTATAGTAAATATATGCAAATAAACTTGGGATAAAAGTGTGCTCTATGATAATATTGATGAGCCGAGCTGACCTGTGGCAGCTGCTGCTGCTGCCGCCGCAACTGTCAGCCTTTCACCCAGCCGCCACGTGTGCGTTGGGGCAGCATAAAATGATGTGGAGCAGCGCGATTTATGCATTCAGTCGGCGACTTTTGAACCCCGAACTGCGTATAAATTTGAGCTAAATTATGGGCTTTTTTCTACTATGAACTGTAAACTTTCGACTTGGACTGTGCTGGACCGTGGCCCGTGTGCTGTGCAGACAGCAAGACTCTCGGCCCAAATTCTCAATGGCGACGCTCAATGCGGAAGATACACACACACATACTCATGCATACATACATGTATGCATGTATGGAGGTCGCCGGACGGGCTGATCGGCAGAGGTAGGGGCTACGGCTTAGCTAGCAGTTGCTGTCGGATTGGCGCTGCCTGCCTTATTATGCCGCCGCGTGGCCCTCGCCCGTAGCCCCTTCCTTGTGCGGAATTATCGATTACGAATGAATATTTCATTAGCAGACGTGCAGCACAGACAGTAGCAGCAGCAGCAACAGCAACAGCAACAGCAGTGGCAGCTGAGGGAATAACAGCGCGGGTCATAGGACACCGTCAGCGTCTAGCTGCTAGTTGCTGTCTACCTAGCGCTTATGCTGACTTCATTGGCTTCCGTTTCCGCTGAGGATTCCGGGTCGCGTCATTTGTGGCGTTCAATTAAAATGCAGCATACTTTGCAGCTGCCAACTCTTCGCCTTCTGCCACTGTCCCCTAAAGCATAATGCATAATGATTTTTTCGTTTCTCCATTTAGACTTTACATAATTATTTCCACTGGGTAATTAATGCAGCCCAACACAGCAGCCAGAAAAGCTACCAAATGGCCTTTGACTTGCCATGGGTTGCTGGTGGAAGCAGCGGCAGTGGAGCTTGGAGCTTGAGTGTATTCCATTGAGGTTAATAGAAGGCTTCAAAGGTTGCATTAAAAGTTGCCTCCTCATTCAGAGTTTTTACTAAATTTTTTTTTGAATATGTTAAGAATGCAAAATGCAAAACGATAAAATAATATTTTAAATTCTTTAAAAATTATATTAGTTTCTTTTAACCATCGACAGTTAAATAATGGTTAACTACTATATGTAGGTAGAAGTCCTAAGCTAACATGGTAACTGGAGCAGTAAAGTGGAAGCAGGATGATCAGGCTTTGAGCTGAGTTCTAAAATCATGAAAACAGATGCAGCTTAGCTATACCCCTTAAGCCACTGATTTTTGTCTATTATACATAGTCTATTTTAGTATTTATTGTATAAATTGATTGATTAAAAATAGTAAATAAGCTACGCATAAAAAATGTCGAATAGCCTCTGGAGGCAACCGCCCGGTTAATTTGGTGCAATTTGTTGCCGAAAATGCTAAATTACCAAGCGAACAGAATTGAAAAGCAGCCTGAAAAATGTGCATTTAACAGTGGGTTAACAGTGCACTGTTATAATGCTGCTATCCGAAAGTGCTGCCCAAGTAACAGGCGAGCAGAAGTGAGTAGCAGTTGGTTAACATTGCAATGTTGTGCCACTGTTAATTAATAGCATGCTAACACAGCAATGTTGTTTTGAATTATGTTAGCGCAATGTTAATTAACCGTGTGCTGTTCATTAACAGTAGTCACACTACTACTAAGTTCGGCTCGCCTGGTACTTCAGCAGCACCAAAATCCTCTGTTATTTTCTTAAATTGAATTGAAAATCTCTGTATCAACTATTTTATTTTGCTTAGACAACTTGTTTATGTTGACTGTTTACTGCTGCTAATCCAATTGTGTAATGTAAACTTAAACAGATTGAAGTTCTCTTGAAATAACAGTTCTTTGTTCATGCTTAATTATTAATAAATAACCAAGTTAATATTGAATCGCTCACAAATCTATTTAACGATGCTCAAGGGTCTACAAAACACTCATATTTTGCAGAAGTTAAGGGCTAAACATTTATGAGTTTAACGTGAAGAGAAGCTAATAGAAAAAATAAATGCATTTTTATTTTTCAATAGTGAAAACTTCTATTGTTGTCAAGTCACAATTGTAGATATTTCGTAGTATAAATAAAAATAAATATGAAAAATTTTGAAGTGTGAAAGACTGTCCAAAACTAGGTCAATTGAACCTGTAAAACACGCCAATGCCACAGCCACAGTCAGTGGTTACCTATGAATATCTAGTATATAATGCCTTAAGCTAGGAATTTTCCGAATTGCCACGAGCTTGGCGAGTGTATCAAAATGATCTGAACACCTTATCAATCGAAGGTAGCAACAATTGCAAGTGCCTAGCAGGGCAAAGCTAATCGACTCAACGCACTTCAGGAACGTGTTAAACAGGGCACAAAGAGCAAGTTTTAGCTTTCCTTTTTGCCATGTTTCGTGCTCAGTTTATGGCCATAATTGCAAATGCTAATAAATAATCAATTACCTTTACTATTAGCTACTTAGTAAACAAGGCAATAAATTAAATATGCATAATAATTACAATAATAAAATAATACCAATAAAAGAAAATGAGAGAGGGAGAGAGAAATGCTGCAAAGCAAGCTCTGATAGGGATTTCAGACGAGCTTTACTTGTGTAACCCCAAATAACCCATTGGCTAGAGTTGACAACAGATTCTCTTGGACTACACTTCTACTTCTTTAAAATCCAAAAATATTCTATTTTTTCTTTTTCTCTTCCATTCAAATTTTTGTGAGTAAAGTTTTATTTTGTATCTGCTCGAAATGAGCAGCAAACAGGTAATTTAGCAATACGATACTATAAATGATTATATATAAATATATATATATATATAGCATATATGATTGCAGTTACAGTGTGAATTGTATCCCCGTGTACGAAACACGGAATATTATCGGTCGCCCGAGCCGAGAGCTTCCATACAGAGTCGCCAGGCCGAGCATCCCCAGGAGAGAGGATATCTGCCAGCCATTCAGAATCTTCTGTTGCCGCGCGTCATCCCCGCCCAGACCTCAAATATGCGCGTGCAGCGCGACAGTTACTTCTCCTAGGATGGTCGACTGCAGTTGAAACTGTTCGTGGCGTCTAGTTGATGATAGGTGTTTATCTTTGATTTTTTTAAAAATTGATTGTGGCACTTTTTTTTCGTACATAAAATCTGTAATGTAAAATCAAAGACGCAGCGGAGCCATTTCAATTTAGCTGTGAGAGCTGCGAAGTCAATGAAACTGATTTGCCCTGAGTTGGCTTGCTCGAAGTGTGGTTCGAGGTTTTAGGTAGGCTTCCTTTGGATCTTGGTTTAGCACATGATTCCAGGTTTAGTTCTCAGCATAACTTGCTTTATGCTTTATGTGGAGCTATGTAGTAAGACTTAATATGGTACATGACTCCGAGCGTGTTTTGTAATCTGTTTTGGAGCTTGGCTTGCAGCTAAATGTTTCATGGTTTCATCCTTAGCTCAGAGTTGGGCTGATGGCTTCGTTTGGAGCTCAAGGCTTGCTTTGAGTCTTAGTTTTGTGAATGCTTTCAAATTTTCCTTTGGCATTTGAATCACACTTTGTTAAGGAGTCGGATTCGAGGCATTATAACGAGACTTGTTTCTTGGCTTAATTCGGAATTTATTTTGAAATTTTATTTGGAAGCTCTCATGTTTCTATATTAGGTTAAATGCCTAAGGCAGTGTTTCGAAGTTGGGTCTGAGTTTTGTTAAGAAACTTCAGAGTTCATTTGATTGATGAATGGCTGCATCTTTGATTCATTTAGTTTATGGCCTACATCAGGTTAGGCAACTGCTTGAATATTAGGTTGGCTTAGGCTCGGTTTATGTTTACCGTCAGTTTCTATGCCAGCTGTAAGCCGACTGAGCAACAAGACGAAATATTGCTTTACTATAGCCTATCAATCAATATGCATTGTTCTAGCAACTGTTTCTAAAATACATTTTTCCCATGTGAAATATTACAGTTATTTTAACTCGTCAAGTGAAACGTGTTGTAAGAAAAGTTTTATAAATTTTCAATAGGCAAATCTAGAGCCCAAACACGAAAGAGAGTAGTTTGTCAACGTCAGTTTTATCGCTGTTATGTATATTATATAAGAGTTAACAAACAATATATATATGACTTGACATAAACAGAGCGCAACAAGGAAAAGCCTTATGAATAGTTCATTAACTCCATATTACTCAAAGTTTCGGATCTACGTAAAGCTTGCACGTATTTTATTCATATTCATAATATCCTTTGGGTAATATGTTATTTCAGCTATTTCATACTGTTAAATAGGCGCTACTAAACACTTAACTTCAGGATACGAGGCATGTGTGTGTGTGTGTGTGGAAGGGACCGCTCTTGACAGATCTATTAGGGACTCATTAAGCTGGCGCCTTGGTGAGCTGTTGCCAGCGCTTGTTAATTCCCGAAAAAAAGGTGCTCGACACTAATGATAGGCAGCTGCTGCTGTTGCTGCTGCTGCTTACGTAAGCTCCTGACGGGATATTTAGCGAGCTGTGTGTGAGTGCCAGAGTGTGTGCGTGAGTGTGTGTGCTGTGCATATCATTGCTTTATATGTGTTTATGCTCGTCTCGCTGAAATGAACACCGCAGTGGCTGCTAGCTGTTGGCTGTTGGCTGTTGGCTGTTGGCTGTTGGCTGTTGTTTGGGGCGCACCTGACACGTGAGCTCCATAAAGGAGGCCTCGACATGTCATGGACGCGAATGCCGTGGCACGCAAGCCCCCAAGTCCCAATGCGAACCCAAGCGAACGTTTTCACTTTCGCTACTCAAATCTTCGCTTGACTTTTTGCTTAATGCGGGCATTAAATTAAAAGTGGGATGCCAGCTGTAGCCCTCTACCTCGCGTTGGCTCTCTTGCACACTCTTCCCTGGCTTAGTGGTCGGTGCAACAACCTCGTTTAGCTATTGGATTGCTGCATGTGGCTCGGGCACGACCTTGAACCACTTTTGATTTCTAATTTTGGAGGCTAGACGACGCGCTACTTAGAATAACTTTGGTTGTCATCGCATGTAACTGCCAAGCAAGCGCCTACTCTATTAATAATGACCGAAGCCTAACTGCAACTTAATTGCACACACAAGTGGCTGGCTATACAATCAAGTGGGTGGGCGTGTGGGTGTCTGTGTGTAGCTACTATGACAGCAACTAAAAATAAACAAATGAGCCAAGCGGCCAAAAGCTGTAATACGAGTAGAAAAAAGTGTGAGAGCGCGTGAGAGAGCGCTGTGAACGGTGTATGAGGAACAGAGCGAATTGAAATGAGCGAAATGAAACAAGCGACTGCGTACAGAGCGACCAGAGCGACCAGAGCAGAGTGAGAGTAAGTGGACAGCATACCATAGCTGACGCAGCACAGCTATGAGAGTGAGTGCGAGTGTGAGAGAACGCGTCAGAGTGAGTATAAAATTGAGTGTGAGTTGTTGTTGTTGGGCAATGGGTTTCAAGGAAGTGAAATTGCTGCAGACAGGAGTTTGCCTAAGCACGCCCGTCGACCCGCTTGTCGCTTCCTGTATGTGTGTGTGTGTGCGTGCGAGCGTGCGTGTGCGTCTGTGAACATTTTGTTGTTTGTTGGAAAAACACGTTGGGCTTGCCTATGTACAACAGCCAGCTGCCTCACACACTGCTCACCTCTTCTGTCTTCTGTCTTCTCTCCTCTCCTCTCTGTACACTACACTTATTCCATTCCACTGCTCAGTGGCTCCACTTAAAAGTGTTATATTGACATTTGGCTACAATTTGAGCTGTCCAAAGCTTTATGATTTATGCTGTGCTGCATATGTAAATGTGTGCATATGCACATGACTCTGTGTGTGTGTGTGTGTGTATGTGTACATATGATTGTATGCGTGTGTGTGCTGTAATCGTTTGCTCTATTTTTGGAGCTTAGTCGAACAACAGCAGCGCGCTGCAAAGCGTGCTATGAATTTTTGTTGTGGGCGGCAACATTTCGTGTATACAACTAGTTAAATAAAATGAAATTTTCCTCTTTTTGCACTTGACCCACCTTCTTTTTGTGTGTTTGGTTTTACTATTTTGTATTTTTGTATTATTTTTCTTATATTTTATTCGATTTGCAGCTGCTGCTGCTTTTTCATATGGCAAATGCGCGGCACGTTTCAACTAGGAAGTTTCTTTTTCGATTTCTATTACTTTGACAAGGGCACGCAGAAATCTACGAAAATTGCCTTTTTATGTGCTTTTAAATGTTACGCGTGTGTGTGTCTGTGAGAGAGTGTGTGTGAGTCTACGAGTGTGAGTGTGTATTATGCTCGTCAAGTTTTATGTCAGTTCATTCATCGGCCAAAATGTTGGGCACAGGACGCAGGCTGTTGTCGCCTCTGCATGTGTGTATGTGTGTATGGTAGTGTGCGTGTGTTTGTGTGTGTGTGCTGCGTGCTCCTGCCAATGTCAGATTTGTATTTCAGCGTCGATTTCGTTTTGGCTGCCTGCATATTTTCGCTCTCTAGTTGATTGTTCTTTTCTTTTGCTTGTTTCTTTGTTTTTTTTTTCTATTTTTGTCACTTTGTCACTTTTTAATTAATTTATTTTTGTGGGTTTTCCAGCTGATTTTCAATTTGCATTTTGCATTTCATTTCGGCACACGTAAAAATCATTATTCGGTGCGCCCGCAAGTATGCAACGTTTTTTGCGCTGTCTTTGCGGGCCATGCTGCTGCCTTCAACACACACGCACACGCACACACACATACATATACGTGGGCTCGTAGAGAGATAGGCTAGGCTAGGCTAGGAGACACACGCGTTCGCGGCACGTTTGCGAACTGGGCGAAGGGGGTGTGGCGAGGGGTGAGCGACTTGCAACGCAAAGTAGCAGCAGCAGCAGCAGCAACAACAGCAACAGCAACAACAACGACCACGGAATAGCCTAAAATAATGGCAGTCAACAATGACAACGATGACGACGGCGACAGCGACAACCGACAACGTTGAAAGTCAGCAAAAGACTGAAGAGCCAAATGGCTGCTGAGTCCCAGTCTGCAAAAGGCGAATAGCGGAACAGAATAGAGAGCAGAAGAGCAGAGCGCACGGAGAGCGAGAGAGAGCGGGAGAGCGGGAGAGCGTAAGAGTAGAAGAGAGTGCTGCAAATCCTATGCAGAAGCTCAACTGATTCCGGAACTTGTTAAGCGCTTGCCACATGGGAAGCAGCTTAAAAGTTAGTTTAACGACGATAATGATGATTATGATAATGACTGTAATAATGATGATAGTAATTAACTAACCAAAAGTGTTTATGCTAGCCAAACAGCTCAGGGGAAATGTACATTGATGGCACTTAAGAGCTTTAATTAAATCTAAATACAAATTGTGTCATATTGCAATAGATTATTATAATTGAATTTGAATTTGAACTATTGAAATTCGTCTATAAATAGATTTATATTTCTATGAAAACCTTGACTCTCGCTCGATCCAGTGCCTGTCTGCCTTAGGGCGCTGCTCCCTTTCTATTTGGTCTGATGACTGATATAGCTTCCCATAATTTTTTTTTTCGTATGTGGAGTGCTTTGAATTTCGTATTTATATTGAATTTTCAACTCGATTTCAATTCACACATTTCTGCTAAACTGAACGGGTCCCTTTACAAACGAGCCTATTTATTCCGTGAGAGATTGGGTGCCTCGCCGAGATGGATGCCTATAATAAGTACCATAAAGGCTACCACAGCTACGCGACCACCCAGACGGTTAGCAACAACTGCTTTTAACAGAAGCCCATTCTATTGTTTCTTTTTATCTGCTAAACAGAACGCATCCCCTCTACACAATGAGCATAAGCACAGGAAGCAACTGGACCAGTATGCGGTGTCCAATCCGAAGGAGTCGATGCAGGGCATGCTGAAGTCGACGCAACCTAAGGAGCTGCAGCAAAAGGCAACGCAGACATGCTTACGTCACAACCACCAGAAACAGAAACAGAAACAGCAACAGCAACAGCGTCACCATCAGCAACAGCAGCATCAGCATCAGCATCAGAAAATGGAAGCTCAGTTGAATCGAGATGCGAACAGATTGAAGATTGACCCACGGCTCCGCTATGAGAAGTCAAAGTCATTCTTTAATATAGACCATGTGCCTCAGTCAAAAGGTACTTATCGGCTGCCTCCCTTACCCTCGGATGGGAAGCCAGATCGAGAGGGCGCCGACGGAGATTATTTGCTGTATAAAAATTTGAGGTTTGGCAAGGATTCGGCTCATGCGCACGGCGATCACGGCGATCACAGCGATCACAGCGATCACAGCGAACAGCAGCTATCCATACCTCTTGATCAGTCGCCAAGGAAGCCGAATGCTTCGTTGTCTATGTTCGAATCGGCACGCGAGCATTGCAGGCTAACCAAGGAGCAGTTCAGCGCCAAATATGGGGTCACAGAAAGCGGCTCCTCGAATTCGGCGCGAACTGTAATAACTACGAAGAGTGGGGAGAATTTACGTACTGTGGTGCAGTCCCAGATCGAAATGCAGGAACTGCTGCAAAAGTCGATCAGCAAAATTATGATGCTGCCCTCGCTTGGCTTGTCGGAAGAAACCGATTGCACTCAGGTCGAGCATAGGAAAAACTACAAAATCCCTGAAAGCGTGTCAAAAGATAATTCGGTTTCTATTCACGTTCAAACGGATAAAAGTAGTTTTAATTTCTGTGTCGAGGATATAGTCAGCTCTAAGGTAATTGCGCCCATGATGCGGCGTGTGCAGCGCATGTATCTCAACAATCTGCAGGAGGAAATGAAGCTAATGGAGGATCTGGAGCGAGTGCCGTGCCTGGTTGGTGAGCTATACAGATCGGCCGATTTGACGTTTGGGCCTAGCGAAGACAAGAAAAACACAAAAGACAAATTTTAGCTTGTTGTTACATATATATATTTTATAATCATATGCAAAAAAAAAAACACTTAATCAACAGTTTTCAAAATAAAGCGCCATTCACGCCATTCAAAACAGTGTGACCAGCTCTGTCAGTTGCATTAATGCATTCAACATCGCAATTATTGATAGGCTATCGATATCGAGACGCACCGGCTATCGCAGTTGTCTGTCATCTTAAAAGTTTAGTTTCATAAACTTGTGGTAAAACTTACAAAATTTGCAACTGAAATTACGTTATTTACAGTTGAAAGAAAACAGCGCGCTGTTAATAACAGTGGTAATGTTACTGAGTATCATCACGTAGCCCTGGTTTCAAAAGGAGGGGGGCGCTCGCATTCCCAAACATTGATTTTTCGTAGTGGACGCCATCGAATGCTGCCAAATTGGCTACTTTTGCACATTAGCTGATAGTGCTGGAATTTGGGTACTACAAAATGAGTGGTAAGTTAGTGTTAGAGCTGTTCAGTTGGCAAATTAAAGTTTGCTTGCTGTGATTACTGCAAGCGGCGCTTGAGACGGGTTTGTTGGTAGGCGTGCATTGCAATTCGCAGTCTACTTTTGAGGGTGGGGACAGAGCCACCCTCAACACCTGCCAGTGCACAGACGATGACTTCATCAGTGTTTACACGCCTCTGGTCACACTCCTCTCCTCTCCCTTTGCAGGCGACGAGAGCTGCAGCGAAAAGCAGACGCTTAATCTTTGCAAGCAGCAGCTGAAGAAGGTGCCAAAACAGGACGATGCACAGAATATACGCAAGCTGATACTGGATGAGAATGAGCTGCAAAAGATCGACAACATTGATTCGTATCTTAAGATAGAAACGGTGACGATTTAGCTTACATATACAAAACTGCAATATTGTGATTTTTAATGAATGTCCTTTGCCCATTCTAGCTGTCGCTGGCCAAGAATCAATTGCTGCGCATGTATGGCGTCTGTAGACTCCACTGCCTACGCGAGCTGAATCTCTCCTTCAATGGCATACTCTCGATTGAGGGCTTGAAGGAATGCGTTCATCTGCGCTTGCTCAACCTGGAGGGCAACAACATTAAGACCATCGAGCACCTCAATACGAATGTGAATCTGGAGTGCTTGAATCTGGCGGACAATAGTATTGGCAGCATATCGGATGTATCCTACCTTCGATCCTTGCGTGAACTCCATCTGCAAGGCAATCGGCTGACCCATCTGCGACAGTGTGACAAATATTTGCCCGTCTCTCTCGAAACCTTGAACCTGGCAAAGAATAATATAAACGATCTTAATGAAATTTGCACATTGTCGCATCTGTCGAATCTGCTCAGCATTTCCATAACTGAGAATCCCTGTGTGATCATGACAATGGGAGCAAATAGCATGGAGTAAGTAAAACTTGGACTTGGCTAAGCTCTCCTTTCTCACGCAGTTACTCTTCTCTCTTAGCGGGTTTGATTACCGCCCCTTTGTGCTGAACTGGTGCATGAGCCTAAAATACATCGATGGCTATGTAGTCGATCCCATTGAGAGCCTTAAGGCTGAGTGGCTCTATAGCCAGGGGCGTGGTCGTCAATTTCGCGTGGGCGAACAGGCGGCTTTAGCCAAATACCTAAGTTCTGCTTGTCCACTAGTGGGCAAGGCGTTGGAGAACGAAAACGATCGCAAGTTGCGTCTGATTTTAAGCAAAGCACAGCATCATCAGCGGCAGCTGCAAGAGGAGATCATGGACAATGCAAATGCCAGTTCAGCCAGCACATCGCCCTCATCGCATCGCAAGAAGCCTACGAGTCGCATTCAGTCGCCACGCTGTGAGCTCTCATAAATATTCCACTTGTTAACTAATTTGTAATTGATGCATTCTTCACAGTTACGCGCTTGAGCGGACGTCAAGGCTCGCCGGAGTCCATGACGAACAGTTACCATGGCAATAGCTGCAACAATAGCATTAGCAGCGACAATGGCATCTCGAACCACCATTCGCTGCAAATGAGCACCTCGCTGATAGAGAACATTCGCAACGAAGGCGACAACTACTCGCTGGCCAGTATGTCCGGCATGTCCAGCAGCGTGCACACCAAGACCTACAATTCAACAGAGTCAACGCCTCGCAACATAACGCCAAATCCTTACAATGGTATATATCTGACTCGCAGCCATGGCTAGCTCTAATTGTTGCTCCTCTCATTGCATTGTAGAACAAACGTATATTGGGCAAACGCCTGTTGGTGGTCCATTGGCTGCTGCCTCTAAAATGGTGCCTGTGCCGGAGACTTTGATGAGTCCCGATGTCTGTCCCGCCGTTGTCGCTCAGCGAGCCACTGTAACGGCGCTCAATGCGCAACTGCACAAAAGCAAAGGCAACAAGAACAAAGGTAGCCAAGTTTAGCTCTGTCTTAAAATCGAATATATTTAAAATTTATATTTCATTATCTACTCAATGTCAGACAACAAACTAAATTTGCCGCGCGTGCGTAGTCCACAGCAGCGGCGCATGCAGAGCCCAACAAGCAGTCCACGCAAGACGGAACGACTACAGCAACAACAACAACAACAGCAGCAGCAGCAGCAGCAGCTGAACTCGACTTCAGTCAGCATAATAGACGCTGGTGGCTTTAGCACAGACGAAGACGGCGAGCTAATCAACGTTGACAAGTTGAAGACTATACGCAAAATGGCAGCAGAGCGGGCGCAGCAGCAACAGCAATTGGACAACAATTTGAACTGCGCTGACCGCCTGATAGAGCATGTGACTGAGTCCTCGGCTGTGACCATACAGAAAATGTGGCGGGGCTATCACACGCGCAAGAAAACCAAAGACATTGCCGAGAAGCTGCACAAACAGCGCACACACGAATATATAGAGTAAGAATAAGCAAGCTATATATACATATACACGTATATAGATACTATATAGAACACTCTTTATATCGCATTCTCTCTCGCTATCTATAGCAAACTCAACAAGGATATGCTAATGACCAAGGTGCAGTTGCAGAACGAGCGCAAGATACAACAGCTGCAAATGCAGGCCATTAATGCGCTGTGGAAGAAAGTGTCCACCATGCAGGTGGATCCGAAAGCTGGCGGAGAGCATTGCACAAACCCGGAGGACGCAAGCAGCAGCAACAATGGCAACAGCAACAGCAACAGCAACGGCAACGGCAGTCAGTCTCAACTGTGCCTCGATCAGAATTCGGCAGCTGTTGTCAATGATTTGGCCAAGCGTTGCACAATGCTTACCGATCAGGTACAACAGCTGCAAAGCTCTATAGGCACCATTGTCAACTGCTTGACTATGGTCTGCAATTTGCCGCAGGATGCGCTTAAGAAGCACATCAACAATTGCTCCGACAGCGATGACATCGAATATAACAATTTTGAGCCGCGTGATACGAGCTCCACGCAAACGGATTTGATTGCTGTGCATACGCCACAGTTCGAGGATCTCAGCAATTTTCCTTTTACAAAGACCAGGCCATCGACATTGGCGCTGGAGTCTAAGCATGATGCAGTGCAGCAGCAGCAGCAGCCGCCGACAAAGCTGGAAGAGACTGAGGAAGAGGAACACAAGGAGAACATTGAAATTTGTGATGCACAGGAGTAGGAGGAGTGGTGTTGCAGAGCTGGATTGCTAGCCAATCCCACTGAACCCACTTAACACGCTTTATAGGGCACTGAGATCTCTAGCTTTTTAGCTTTTTGCAAGCATCGCAGTGGACGCAGCCGCAGAAAACGTAACAACAATTAAAGCCAACAATTTATGTATTTATTTTTTATTATTTTCGTTTCTAGGCCTATGTACGTATAGTAAACCAACTTTTTGTTTCATAGTTTCCTTATATATTTTTTAATTTATTTTCTATTTTTTTTTTACGTCCGAGAAGTGAACGTTTATTCTTTTCTGTTACTGTTTCCATATATTTTTTTGTGTTTATGGACGTACATAATTTAATTTGTTGTTACAACAATTGCGAGAGAAAAGTAATTCGTTAAAAAATATACATTAGCTAAACTTTTTGTAATGCACGATAAAATGCAGAATCGGAATTAATTCTTTCTCAGTCTTCAGCGCTGCTCTCCTCTGTATCCGTTTCCTCTTCCTCGTCATCACCCATATTCACAGGTCGGTTTGTATTAGGTGGCAGTGATTCATCGGAGTCAGAGCCGGCGGAATGCTCGGCTTGGTTGCTTAGCGTCGACTTCTTGGCAAAACGTTCCGGCCATATGCCAGCCTTTGTGTACTCCTTAATATGCTCAGGCGTTAAAATTTTGCTTATTTCCGCTTTTACTTTGTCGCCCTCCTCGATTGGCTCCACCAATATGTAATCACCGCGCTTTACCCAAACATTTTTGCGAAACTTGTTGGGCATAGAGACTGTAAAGGACATCAACAATAAAATCCAAAGTCTTTAAAATGGCTCTACCCCTGATCTCACCCAGAAAATTCTCTGCTGTCGCCGCCTCTACCTCGTGTAGATTGTTGCCTCGGCTGCTGACGACGCGCACGATCTGCTGCTGTTCGGTAGGCAGGGAATAGTCATCCTCCATCATCTCCTTGAGCACATGTTTGCGCCGCGTTGTATTAGGATGCGACATGCTATAAATATTAAGTTTATTCTTCCACGGAGCGCCAGGTTTTTGTTTACTCAATATGGCTCAGCGATAAGTCGTGCTGGTGGTGGTCGCCCGATAGCTCAAATTTAGATAACTATGCTGTTATTATTTTTGACTCCTTGTGTAATGAAGCGCCAGATTTCTGTTTACTCAACATGTGTGGCGGTCACCCGATAGCCCAAATTTAGATAACTAAGCAAAGTGTTATCGTTTTTGTTGAGTGTTGTAAAATGTCTTATAAATTTGGCGCTAATATTTTCGTTTTTTTTTTCATAATTTGAAATTGAGAAGTTTTTGATTAATTTTGAATGGTGCGAGGAGTTTTTTGTATGTTTATTATTAAGCAGCTTAAGCGAAATGTACGGCTAATTTTGGACTAACAACTAGTTTTTGCTGCGTCTCACACGAGCTTTACACGAAATTCGATCCTTAGTGGAGCTATCTCGGCGATTTTCCACCACCAATTGCTTCGGTTTTTTGATACTAAAAAATATAATAATAAATAAAACTGTCATGTAGGATCTTATAATTGGCTTACATTTCATTTCTGAGAATAGTAATTTCCTTTTTCCATATGTCCTTAAAATCATTGGTAAAATTCGTCCAATAACCAAAGAACTGATCGGGCGTACATTGAGCCAAGCTCAGGGTGCAGCCCTTAGGGGAGAAGTGATAAAAGCGCATGGTTTCCAAAAATATATCCCGGCACTCGTCAATTAGCTGATGAAGCTTCGCAACTGATTTCTCGGCGCTGGCGGTAAACTCCTCCATCTTGGACTTGAAAGGCTCGCGATGTTCACTAGATGCGCGTAGCACCAATACCGTAGTCTGTTTACAAGCTACAATGAGCAGGACGAGGAGAATCATAATTAGTTGCTGCAGAGATTGCACAAGCATTAATATTCAACTCACCCATCAGCTTCCTGTTTAGATCCTTGATCTGCTGTTGAACTTCATCAAAGTCCAACTGGGCAGCTCGCTCCACATCCGAGGGTTCAGGTATGGGCAGCGTCATCTCTTGCAGGGTCATCTCCTTGCGTCTCTGTGCTATGTAGGTGCGCACAATGAAGTGGAGGAGTGTGGTGTGTGATTCCTTGGACTTGACATCCTTGAGCTTGCCCAGAATATCCAGATTGAAGCCATCCGCTTGGCCACGTTGTCGATTGCCCCCGTTCATATAGTTGCCCAGTGTTAAAATTATGGAAAAGACCAGTTTGAGATCTTCGCTGTCGATAAGCTGCTGCGACAATTGGGACACTGTCTCCAGCTTGCGGACGAGCAGTGTGACAGCCTCCTCGAACTCCGCCTGGAAGACAATGCACGAGATGCGCTCACTAGCCATGGATATTAGGGATATATCGCGCAGGAATTGCTCCGGATGATCCAGTGGTATATCGCCCCCATCGGCCTCCTTGATGCGCTGCAGCTCCTCATCCGTGGCTCGCATAAAGCTGATCTGCTGCAATGTCTCCAGACTGATCACCGATGTGTCCACATGATAAATGGCATGTTCTATTTCACTGGAGGGCATGTGCAGACTCCTCGAGAAGATGCCCACATTACGTGATCGCTTCGGATCGAGTACTTTAATGGACTTCTCACGCTTCGGCTTCAGCTCCTTGGGTTTGCTGACTGGAGCAATGGCCTGCCGTGAGAAGAGCTCCGTAAATTCATCGATATTATCCAGCGGCGTCTCGTCAATCTCCGTCCACATCTCCTTGCTGGGTGGAGGAGCAGAAGCTGGACCAGATGGCACAGCAGCCGCTGGCAAATCCTCTGGCGAACTTGTGCTGTTATCTGCACTATCCGTCGAATTGGCCACCGACGGAGGACGCGGCACAGCCGGAGCACAGGTAACGATTCTCGTCCAATAAAGCGGACGCATCGGCTTGGGCGGATTGACAGCGCTCTTGCGCTGAACTGGAAAAGTTAGAAATTTAGTGTAAGATTCAGTTTTGTTGTAGAGTTGAACAGGCTTGACTTACTGCATGTGCGAAGGAACCAATTGCCCTCGGCAGGATCTGGCAGTGGTGCAGGCGCCAGCGATGAGCCCGACTTGGACGTACTTAAAGGAGGCGGTGGTGGCGGCATATTGCCTGGACAGGCGGGCGCTGGTGGTGGTGGTGGAGGTGGGCCACTGCCCGGTGGTGGGGGCGGCGGCGGCGGTGGTGCTGCTCCAACTGCCATGCCAGGCGGTGGAGGAGGTGGCGGTGGAGGTGGTGGAGGCGGCGGCGGTGGAGGCGGCGCTGCTGTGGTCGGTGGTGCATCTGCTGCAGCTATTTCGCCACACTTACACGAGCCCTGGCATAGCGGTTCCTCATCCGTCTGGCTGCCCGCATCCGCATAGCTTCTGCTCTCCGTCGGCCTGTTGTACTCATAGATGGTCGCCTCGCTGGCGTTGAGCAACTCGGTAAGATTGATGCAGCGCTTGGAGGGTCGACGCGGCGGCTCATCAACGCTGCTCAGCAGCTCATTGACTACCGCATGCACCTCGGCCAGGGTGGCGCAATTGAGCAGACGCTTGCGCAGGATTTGTTGCAGTGTCTTCTGGCTATCCGTCTGCGTCGAGCTGCCCTCGTAATGCGCCTTCTGCACGGCTGGCGTGCTGGAGAATGGCCAGGCGGTCACCTTGTCCAGCTTGCCAGGTGTGAGCGGCAACGAGGTGGTTGGCTGCTCCGTATGCGTCCACTGGTACATCTCGTAGGGCTGCACAGAGAGCAAGCAGAAAGTCACTTTATATTTAGGTGTAAAAAAGCAAGCACAAAGCAGATCATCTTGCATTAGCCCATTGACTTCTAATTGCAGCTCGAGTGCAAATCTCTTTCTCTCTCTCTCTCTACCTATTTCTCTTTTTTCAGCTGGCTCTCAAGAGCTTAAAAGCCAGCGCCCCCAACACCCACCCACACACACACACTCACACATGCTTGGTGTTGAAGTGTCTAAAGCTCATCTCTTCAAAATTTGTGCTCATGTCATTGTTGCTGTGCCACGCCCACGCCCACGCCCACACCCAACATCATCGTCCCCAGGCGCCCACTTGGAAGTCTGGGGACCACAGGTTGACAGTTTTATACCTTTTAAAAAAGGGTGAACTCGCAATACCTAAGCAATGCAGTTCGCTCGAACCAGCTAACTAGCTGGCAAATATTTTATCTTGCTGACAAAATTTGATGTCATGAACTTTTCTATTTCCGTTTTTTAAGCAGCTTTCTTTTGGTTTGATATATGTTATATATATTAAATTTTTTTGTTGATTCTTAAATATTTAAACTTAGCTTTTGTTGATTTTTCATGACGTGCTTTGCAGGCAAATCTATATTTATATAGGTATCTAACGTCCCAGCTCGCATCCCTTTAGATACCTATATAATGCTTCTTCATAAGATCTATTTGAAATATATTATCTAATATTGTGAAGTTGTTTAGGTAGCTAAAGATATACGTTGTACGCACTGTAGGTTACGTATAGTCGATGTTTGTTGTCAAAAGAATGTGTATCAAATTTTTGGTACAGAGCAACTGACTCGTGTTGCAGTTACTATATAAAGAGGATTGAGATTGAGAAGATTAAGCCAACATAGAATAGAAGGTGGAGCAGCTGAACAAGTTCTTAAAAAAATGATTTTTTGAAATGTTTCGAGTATCGGAAAATATATAGAAGACACAAGTGTATATCTGAGAGGTATTAGTTTAAAGTTCTGCGAGAATTGTAACGAAATTTGGCACTCATCAGATATTAGATGAGGATTACTTTGGGGAACAACAGCCAAGCTAAATAAGTAAAGAATTTACGTAACAGACCTCGTTTTTTAAAGTGGTTTAAAATCATACAAAATTTAGTGTTCTCATGGAATTATTCTATAGAAGAGACTCTTCTCATAATAAAAAAACTCATGCCCATAGAGAGAAGTTTTGTACTACATTCAGAGACTAGTTTTAAAGTCAAATATTTATATTTTATTTTATATTTCCTATTACTCATTTGATTTTTCTAACATTGTTTTATCTCTTTAAAGCGCATTTCAAATTCGTTGTTTATTCAAGTCTCTTTTTTTATGCAGTTTCCTCGTTTTATTGTTAAACTTTTTGCATCTTTTAGCTATTTTGCATTGTCATGCGTGAGCTTCAGTTGGGTTGTGGCTTGAGATTAGAATTATTGCCTGCAGAGAGCTGAGAGCTCTGAAGAGCGCTGGAGCAGGGATTGGGTTGGGTATGGATTCGGGTTTGGGCTTGGTGTATTTTGGCTTGAAATGCAAATTGTTTGGCAACGCCAAAGTGCAAACACTTGAGCAAATGGCGTCAAGTGCGATAACGTGACCACGGCACTGCGCCCACACACACAGACAGACAGAGAGAGGCAGTGGCAAGGGCAGGGTCAGCTTCAGCTGCGGCACTTTGCATGCATTCGTCATCCCAATTGGATGCCTCATCAGCTCTAAATGATTAGCGCAGTTTGTGTGTGACTGAGTGGGTGCATGTGTTATTGTGTGTGTGCGTGTGACTGTAAAATGATGCCACATAATTGAATTTCAATTTTTAATTGCATTTCGTGGCATCGAGCCAAGTGTTTGGTGAGGCACTGCGCAGCCACAGCTCGGACAGCAGGGGAAATATTTGAGGTTTTGGCTTGAGAATTTAGCTGTTCACAAAATTTGAATTAGTTTCAATGTTTCTTAGGTTTAAGTTAGTGCTGCAGCTCTACCATAAGCAGATCCAAGCAAGCTAAGCTCGGCTCGTCTTAGATCTGCATGGAAACATCTATTTGATTTTAGTTCGGTATCAACTAAAAAGAGTGCTCTGGTAGGGAGTGTCCGACTGATATATACCTTGAATTCTAGGCGCTTCATTTGTAGACACACATACAGCTTGGACTACATAGACTTTACTATGGCAAATTGATTAAATAAGTTTCGCTCTAGTTGAACTATTAAAAAATCTGTGTTTTCATGACAGATGACTCCACTTTAAAATGAATGAATTCCTCTGTTGTGGCTTACAAAAGAAGTTCATTTAAATTCAGTATGCGAAGCCCATGTTAAAGCCTCCTGAATAATAGTTAAATCCCAAGGAAACATCTAAATGAGTTTTCTAATCAGTTATCAGTTTGGTGGCTCCCTTAAGCAGAGCACAGCACACTAATACCCTGTAATGCAAACTATTTACGTTTGGCTGCGCTTAAAAGTGCCGCTGGGGTAGCTAAAGTTGTTGCTGGCCTCGTGGCTCTTGGCGCAGTGCCACACACAAAAGAATAATAAACGCCGAACTTGCCACAAAGTAATAAAAACGCACGAAACTTTCAATGAGCTGCAGCTGCGAGGGGCAGAGGGGAAGTTGAACAAAAATCTAGCTTAAGCTGAAAGCTGTTTCTGGCCTGTTGCCCAAAAACTTGATGACGCGCGCATTGACAACGGACAGAGGACACGCAGGACACGCCACGACACGCCAGGACACGCAGAAATTTGTGATATCATAATCTGCGGAGCTCAAGTATCATCACATAGAAAATCACTTAACGCTGTTGTCTGCCCGCTCGCAGGCGCTGCTTTGAGGGATTTCGTGGTTAAGCTGCTGTGGCTAAAACTTTTTGTTGTTTTTCCTTGGTTTTTGGCCTAAACTAATTTTTTGGCCAGACGGACGAGTGCTTGATTAGTTGTTAGTGTAATTCCCTCCCTCTCTTGCTGTTTGACACTTTTTCTTTGCGCTCGTGGGCGTTGCAAGCTGTGGGCGTGTCCTTTGGTTAACCAGCAATTAAAGCGTCGAGTCTTCTTTCTCTTATCCAGCGCTGTCCAAAAAAGCAAACGTATTACATAGTCCATTAGTCAGCCGCACGCTGAGCGTGAAGCCAACACACAGCTGCACTCGCAAGACACGCCCCCTAAAACGCCCCCTCCTGCGCACGCCTAGCGGGCAGTCAACTCTTTGGATTTCATAATTTAGCAAAGCAGCAGCAAGAAAAAAGTTCACTTTTGATGGGTTGTTAGCGACTGAGGACATACCCTGGAGGGAAATTGTTGCTAAAGTGACTCGTAAACTCTTATACAATATAACAATGCTTTTCAAACTGTGATTGCAAATTTAGTCTGAATGATTTTAAATCATGGCATTACTTTGGCCTTCTAGTTAAATATAGTTCAATATATAGATTAGCCTGCTTCATTTTTGACATGTATTTCAGCAATAAGAATAAACCATTTGAAGTGTTATACAAAAATTTATACAAAATGTAATAAGTGTTATACAAAGTGTTGTACTAACTGTTATACAAACAGTTATACAAAATGTAAAGTGTTATACAAAGTGTTACACAGTGTTGTACAAAGTGTTATACTAACTGTTATTCAAAGTGTTATACAAAGTATAATACTAACTGTTATACTAAGTGTTATACAAAGTGTTAAACTAACTTTCATACAATGTGTTATACTAACTGTTATACAAAGTGTTCTACAAAGTGTTATACTAACTGTTATACTAGCTACTACAGTACTAGTTCTCGATCTGTCAAATTCTCAGTTTTAAGTAACATACTCCTTTTTACATTTTCTAAACAGCGTATAAAAAGGCTAGAAAACTCTGCGGGGCTGCTGGGCAGTTCAAGCGGCAGAGAGAGGGAGTGAGAGCGAGACGGGAGACGGGAGAGATTGAGAGCTGCAAAGTTGACGGCAAAGTTTTAACAAGTTCTGACACTTGCAGGCTCGTCAGCTGCAAGGCAGGGGCTGGGGCAGGGGCAGGGGCTGGCGCCGAGGCACAGCTGGAGCGACGAGTGAGGGGGTGATGTTGAGGGTGCAGCAGCAGCTGCTGATGCAGCTGACATGTACAGCTAGGCAAAGGCTAAAATGAAAGTGCATTGCGATTTGCACTGGCAATGGAATTGCTAATTTCCGGGCACAACTTTGCGGCTCATTTTTGTAGTCAAGTTTTAAAGCAAAGAATTTTTAGAATATGCACAGGCGAAAGAAGCGGAGGCACTGAGTAGCGCGAGAGAGAGAGAGGGGGTGAGTGGGAGGTAGCCTGGAAGCAGTTGGCACAACTTGAACTGCTGCCTCATAGCTTATCAATAGCTAATGACTTGGACCAACTAAGTTACATAAGCAAAGCAAGAAGTCCCATCAAGTGGGGGTGGGAACAGAGGCTGTCTCTCTATTTCCGTTAGCACGGCGTGACAACTTCCGTTCGCTGACCAATTTCCCGTCCATGCAGTGACAGAGACAGAGAGAAAAAGTGAGGAAAGTTTGGGTTCATTGAACTTACGCTAAAGCCGGAGGGCGCATCCTGCTGCTGCTGCTGCTCATTGGAGATCTGCTTCAATACGCCCACATATTTGAGATTTTGACAGAACTGCAGCGTCATTGCATTCAGAGATTCCAGACCCAACAAGCCCAAGGCAGAGCTGCTCTGCAGCGTTGATATTAACCATTTGATCAGCATTTGACCTGCAAAAGACAGAGAAGACAAACAGATGAGAAAATTACATATAATTAATATATATTTAGTTATATTATAAATAATAAATGCATATGAAATATTGGGTATTAATATGTGTATCTATTGTATATAAAATATCTTTCAAGTTTCAAACTTTTAGTCGTACATACATCAGTGAAACATTCATTAATATTTATACTCGCTTGCGCAGTAAACAGAGCATATTGGCTTTGTGCAATGTTCACCCTACTGACTGTCAGTCTGTACATTTGTACGTCCGTCTGTCTCCCTGCCTCTCTGTCCATCCGTCTGTCTCTTCATCTCTTCCCTGCTTGAATGAATGTTATTAAAACTAAAGACTTGAAATTGAAAACATAAACTCGCATATAAAACATCGTCCATCAGATACATTATAAATATGGTTACGCACCTCGGAAAGTATTATATAATACAATATAAATGCGCTTATAAAAGTAAATATATCTACGCTCATTAGGGCGTGTCAGAGAGCTAGAGCCGCAGCTCAGATATTTGATAACGTACTTACTTACTGTTCAGATCCTATACAGAACGTACTGAGTATATTTCGAGAATTCTAATATACGTTACACATGAAAACACATACACATATACATATATATATAGATATATATATCATATTTTGCTTGTATATTTTGACTAAGAATTTAGCTAAATCGAAAACAGTCTGGAATGAACACTCAACGTATCAACATTTCGAATTGTTATGTTTCAAAATGTTGACTTCAATATGAACGTCAACATTTGATTGAAGAATCAGAAACTGAAAAACAAGTTTAAGCGATTCGACAACAAAGATCTTGATAAGTGAACAGAGCTCATTTGTGAGGAGTCTAGTAGTCTAGAGTCTAGAAGTAATCTGCTAGCAGCAGCAGACTTTGTAAGTCTAGTAAAAATTGATTGGCTTTAATTGGGCAGCTCCATCACACAGGTATTATTTACCTGTTTGCTTTATCTATTTTATATACATATATTTTCAATGTTGCACAAAATAATTTAATACAAACTGATTAAGCTCGAAATTTGTGGGAGTCAAAGTCTTGACTCGGTCTATTGTGCGCACTTTCACAGATAAGCAGGGGCAGGCGCTGGGGCAGGGGGCTCTACATGTAAACTTTGCGCACAGCTGCGGCTCGCAGCCCCATGTTGAGGCCGAGACACAATGATTTATGCGTGTGTGCGTTAGCAGAAAAAGTCGAAAAAAGGAAAAGAAACAGCTCTAGAGGAGGGTGTGGGTGTGTGCGTGTGTGTTTGGGTGGCTGTTGCAGACGTGTTGGCTACCAAAAATATTAGGCATAAATAAATTTAAGTGTTGTCCAAAGAAATGGCCAAGGAAACAAAATTAACTAAGCCAAGATTAGATAAGATAGTCCATGTGAGCGAATACTCTGCCGTTCGTTATTAAACAGCTGTTTATATATACCGTTAGATGTGAATATTAGTTTGTATTTAGTTTTCGCTTAGCACTGGCAGCCACTTGAATCCTTATTGACAGCTTCAATCAGTTGATTGATAGCACCCCTCAGTCAGCTGATCGATTATATATATATATTTATTTCTGGTAGATATCATATATAATATGCTACAAGCATTAAGCATTATTCTACAAGCTTTAAGATATTTTCTATATTCCTCTAATGTTTCAATATGGTTTTCAATATATTCTATTATAAAGAAATATATTTATTTTTTAAATAAAATATTTCCATTATATTTTTTTTAACATTTTTTTAAACATTTTTAGGACAATCTTCTTTTCAATACTATTTTAAAATTGGTAAATAATTAATTTAATTAATTAATTAATTAATTAATTAATTTAAATTGAATTCTCAATTTTCTAATGAAAATGTAGAGCACTATAAATTGATAAAATTTTCACCAGTAAAATCGATAAGCATTTTATAAATGACAATTCGCTTCGTATAGTCACAAAAATGAATCAACTTTTGACTAAGTTTTGACGCAGAAAAGAAATATGAAATGAATAATTGCTTTGATTACCTAAGAACCTAAGAGTCGTATATAGATGATTCTTATCTCGAACTCCTATTCCTGCTCTAAGCTCATACTCTGCAGTCCAAGTGAAATACCTCAACTGTGTTGTTTAGTGTATAACAAATAAAACTTACGCTGTCTGTAAGCGCGTGTTGTTGAAGCGAGTGCGCTATTAGGAACGGGAACGGGAACGTTAACGTGAGCGGGAGCTGGAACTGGAACTGGAACTGGAAGGGGCAGGGGCACATTGGCAATGGCCACTGCCAGCTGTGGACAAAGCGCGTGTGGGTCAAACCGAACGCTGACAATGTGAACGCTAATGCTAAGCGCACGAGGGCGACAGGGAGCCGACGCCTTAGCGGCGGATGATGCTGCTGCCTCTGCTGGCCAACAGAGGGCGACATCAGGTGTTGGCTGCGGCTTAGAGCGTGCGAGCTGCACGCGTTTGCCCGCCATTGACATTAGCTGAAGATAATGTGCGGGCGCTGACTGGGCAACGTCGAAAGCTTCTTCATCCGGCTGATGCCACATAATGCCACAATCTGGCACACTAATTGGCACGTGATGCTCCGGTGGCGGCTGCTGCTGCTCAAACTGTGGAGCATGTCTGGCTAGCAGCGGACACCAGACGTTGCTCAGGTCCAGCTTTATGCCGGGGCTGCTGGACATATTTATGCTGAGAGGGAAACACTCGAACTCGGAACTATTTGCAACTAAAGCGCGTTGTTGACTGTTGCTCGCAATTTAGTCATTCACTACTTTTCGCACGGACAAAATTAAAAGTGTCGACACTTATCAAATATTATCAACAACAAGTTGTACGAGTCAACGCTCGACTTTCGGTTTGTTTTCGTTGATAAGTGCCAGCTGTGTGGAGCCTATAGCTATACCTATATTTCAATGTAGCTCTAGCCACGAGCAGCTAGAGAAGTGCAGTTCCCGAACGCCCTGGCAAGGTCGTTTGCTTATCAGTCATGGTCTGATAGCAGCCACTGCAAGTATGGTACTTTTTTCTTAAGCATATACCCTGTAATTTTGAAAAGTCGATTAAAATCTAGTTTTACGAGCAGTAAATAAGATTCTTTTTCTCATATTAAAAGCTTAAAATTAAAATTAATATTCATTTAAGCTATAGTCATATTTCCATAAAGATCGATATATATCGATTGATAGAATGAATTAAGTTATGCAAGTAGATAAGTTCGATTCACAAGTTTTCAGAGCAGATCTCAATTCAGACATATATTTTATATATATTTATAACTTAGTAAAATTAGGCGAGATCGATAAATATCGATTTTAGCGAAATCCTTGATTTTTAAATATGTTTTTAGGTACAGGGTATTTTGTTAGTCTACTTAATTCTATTAACCATTGAATCATGTGCCTAAATTTATGGGTCATTTCTGTTATTGATTTCCAATTTCGCCCAGACTTCAATTTGAAAGTGCGTCAGAAGTCGTTCATAGAACTGACTCATTCACAAATGAACTCTGATATCACGTAAATTAAGTCAATGCTAATCTAAGAAAACTTGACTCGATAATGGAATCAACAGAACGGAATGATTTGGAGAAGCTTTCTTCTTTCTAAACTAAATGGTTTACGATGTTTTGACTATTGATTAATCTATATTGATTAATCAGTTAACACCCCCTCTTGGAAGTGTTTAGTCATTATGAGGCCTAAGAAAGTCAACGCATTGTAACTGATAGTCAGGCGCAACTGATATAACAGCCCAGTTGCTGCGCTAGTCGATTCGAAAAGGGAGAAGGTGGGAAAGAGAAATAGAGAAAGCCTGTCAGAGATAAGCGAAAAACCAACTCTTTATAGGGCCCTTGACAAACGAGCATGATATGGTTAAGCACTGATTTGGAACCATTTTTAGGCGCTAATTCATTTTATTCATTAATGATTAGCCAATTTTAGATCATGTTTTCAGAGTAAATGTCCTGTCATAACAAATATATATCTATTAAAAAAACGTATATAATAAACCAGTTCATTTAGCTTATTTAGTCTAAAATACATCTTTGATACTGAGCTTTAATCAGAGGATCTAATTTTAGTGAACTAATTCAATTTTAGTTATCAAATTTCTCATGTTAAATGAAAAAAAATCTTAAATTTTGCAATTTTACGATTGCTAAAAATTTGAACTACCTTTATTGAACTAGTTCAAAAGTTCATTTGATTAATTTTTAAAGTTGTTTAGAATGAATTATTATATAATTTTTTAGATTAAAGACTTGTGCAGTACTCAGCATTATTACAAAAGTATTACTTTAATGAACTGGTTCATTTGATTAATTTTAATGTAGCCTTAAGTTTAATGTAATTTAGAAAAGTATTATATTTTCCTATTAAACTGTTGGTAACAATTATATAAGACATTTGAACCAGCTCTTATAAACTAGTTCCATGCGAGACTCATTTTACGTCGTGTCTGAAATCAGAACGCAATAAATCCAAAGCCAAAAACGTCATCAAAACCCTAGAAAACCCGCACACTGATCATTAGGCTCATGTAATCAAAGCTGATAAGCGGACGCCATTGATCGACGCGGCGAGACGAGGCATTGCCTGCGGCCAGCTCTACACAAGGTAGACCTCAGTGGCCAGAGGGTGGGGTTTTGCCATGGGGCAGATGTGTCGTCGCCGGCATTTGGCAACTTTTGATGAAACCGCGTAAAGCGTTGCCCAACAAATTTGCATAACTGCTTCGTTCGTCCCAGCCAAGTGGACAGCTAGTTGGAGGGGGCGTGCCATGATTGCAGCTGGTAGGGGAGCCGTGACGCTGCACGCATGCATGCGCTGCATTCATCAACGGACAAACGCGTCGACGTCGGCGCAACGGCGTCGCTGACGTCGCGATGCGAACGCAGACAGTCCAAACACTTTCGCCCCAAACAACGGACAACAAAGCGCTGAAAATGAAACGTTGCACACAGGAGACCACAAAGCACTGGCAAGAGCAAGAGCAAGAGCAACAGCATGCAATGCAGCAGCACGACTAATAGATACCCTGTAGAAGGTCTTTAGCTCATAGCTATTTGTTTCTATGCTTTAAGTGGCACAAAAGGAACAAAACTAGTCATCGATATATATCGATTTATGTGCAAACTTTACGTTAAAGATAATTTATAATTGCTTAAGCTTTATACAACTATTTACACAGTTAAAGGATCCGCTCTCTTAGCCAATTACTATCAAAAGTTAAATCGATATGTAACAAGAGTAAAAGTTATCGATATTTGAATGGAATGGTAATTTATTAGTTGCTCACGACAAGTTTATCAACAGTTTTGCTATGTCCAACTCTATCAAGAACTTTATAAGAATCGATATATATCGATATATATATATATATATATATATATATATATATAAGATAAGAAATATTAAAAATACTGTCACCAATTCTAATAAGTACAGCAAAACTACATATCGATAGTTATCGATATATTTTATATAAGCTTAGCTGTAGCGATTGCTGATATTCATCAATACCATTTTCATTTGCGTATATTCTGTCTTGGCTTTGACGCATCTGCAGCATGCCTTTCATATATACACACATTCACAGGGTATCTATCGAGCAGTTGCAACCGCATCTCTAGCCCATCCTTCGCTTAAGCCGAGACCAGCCAACTTGAGAGCGCTATATCCGTCTACCAAAATATTGTTTCATTACGCGTTGCCCAAACATTGTTGAGGGACCAACCGATGCGGACGCGGATGCGGATGTGGTTGCGGATGCGGAGGCGAGTAGCAGTCACTATTCGCTAGTTGCAGCAGCACTGGTAGTGGCAGCTGCCTTTGGTGGCAAACGTGACGTTGCCGGGCATATAAATCAGATTTTGGGGGGGCGGCGGCCGCGACAAAAACGACAGCAAAGGAAGAATTGATGGCCACTTCAGACAAACTGACATGCAGGAGGAGATCGGAGTTGCACGAGGAGCAAGTAGTTGGTAGCTCAAAGATGCGAAGGACAGCAAATTGCGTTGGATTCCAATGCAACGAGATAGGAGGCAGCGGCTGTGGCAGCGGCGGAGGTAAAGCCGGAACGCTTTTGTTGTTTGTGCAGCGAGGCGTTAAAATGTTTGTTTGCATTAATTTGCGGCAGACGTTGATGCGACTCGTGATGTGGCAAGCTGCAGCAGCAACGAGCCGCAGGAGCAGGCCAGCAACTTGCAACCAATTAGCGTGCCACACGCGCCACAACAAAAACTGGCGCCTAACGGGCCACAAAAATGGCGGCAACTACTGGCAAAATGTGGGCGTGACAAACGCCCATTTGTTGCAAGGCCTAACAAACTCAGACAATTCGATTTTAAAGCGGCGCCGCCAAAAAGTATGCAACAACATTTGAAAACTTTAATCAGAAACGCGACAATCAGCAAGGTGGGCGTGGCTGCGGACAAAATGTTATACCCGAGGGGCAAAACGTGCGCGCGCTGCTCTAAGAATTTGCATAGTCGTAAGTTATAGGCGCTGTCAGCCGCAGCTCAACAACGAAAACTTACGGCCAAATTCTTGACAGAATTTCAAAGTAAATTGAACGGCATATGCAATAAGGGAATTATTTTTTGGTTTTTATATATTTAAAAATTTTTAATTTATTATTTTTTATAAGCTTATAAATTGTTTTTTTATTTTATTATGGCCTTTTTATTTTGCATTTGCATTTTTATATATTTGTATTTCTATAAATTTCATTTCATTATTAATTTCTGGCTTTTGTTTCATTGATAACATTGCTTATCAATGAATTATGCATTATTTTTAGCTCAGAGAAAGAGACAAATGATGTTAGTCAATAAAAAGTTATTTAAAATTCATAGAATAATATGAGCAAGAAAATCATTTCGCTTATATTGACAATCTAGCGACGCAATGTTCATACACCTTCGATAGCTCAGTTGGTAGAGCGGTGGACTGTAGAGTGTCATACAATATGTAGAAATCCATAGGTCGCTGGTTCAAATCCGGCTCGAAGGATGTTGGTAAATTAACTTTTTTATTCTTTTTTAATTTCAATTAAAACATTTTAAAGAATATTATTTAAATGTTTCGTACTGTTTGGCAAAAATGAGCCCTTTGATTTGATAAAAATAAGTATAATGCACTTATTCAACAAATGCTTTACAATTCATTGCAATTGCGACTTATTACAACTCAAGAGCATTAATGTAAGCAAAGGCTATAAAAAGTTAGCATAATTAAATTTTAAAGTAGCTTTTAAAGAGCACTTTAAAGTTAAATTAAAGCAGATAAACAAATTTCGTAGAGGCGCTCGCCCATAGATGGCGCCAGTAATGGTTTGTTATTTTTACCGTTTGTTACAATAACTCAACTAATGATTCAGTCAAGTGGCGCATTGTCTTCTGATTGGTTAACTGATTTCTGTTGTCTCAAGGGGTTACGGAGTGGAAGTGAGTGAGTGAGAGGGCAACTAATTGTTAACTTTGGGCAAACAACGAAACGCAATCAAACGTGGCGCAAAAATTTGCCAAGCTCAACGTAAAAGCCAAACAGCAAAGCGCACGAAAATCATCAAAATTTTATATATATATATATATATATATATATATATAAATCGGGTTGCGCTTGAGTTGTGTAGAGAAGACGTTGGGGTAGGGGGTAAATGTATATTTTGCTAGACTTACCTTCGAACTTTTCATATGCAGCGAAGCTTAACTTTTCCGGCACAAAAGATGAGCCGCGTCGCGACCCTGCGCCGGCAGCAACGCTCTGCTGCGACTGAGACTGCTCCAGCTGCGTGGCTGTCAATGTTGTCTCCCTCTCGTCGCCAGATGGCGCTGGCGCTGCCATGGCTAACGCTGGCGACTGAGCGCTAGGCGCGCAGCTGCTATTGCAGCTACTGCCCGTCGACGACGATCTCTCGACCGAGAAGCTGGCCACCTTCTTGAGCACATTGCTCGACAGCAGCGGATTTGTGGGTGTGCCATAGCCAGGCGGTGGCGGAACCAGCGTCGATGCATCAGCATCCAACTGCCTAGCCTGATCTACGTGCTGACCTCCCTCCCCAGCAGCACTGCTGTCAGGGGGCGTGACTGGGCGTTGAGATGAGGCAGGTGTTTGAGATGATTTAAACGAAATTATAACAGTTGATTGCGTTTCCAGCGGAGTAGTCGCTGTCGAAATCGAAGTTGGAGTTGGTATCGGTGTAGTTGTTACAGCTGAAACGAAACGGATTGCAAATCAAATGAAACGCACTGAACTATGTGAAGCTGGCTGCATTAGCAGTTCGAATTGTTGCACAGAAGCTGCGCAGGGGGCAAGGCTATCTAGTGATTTATCAATCAAAATAGTCGGAAAAAACTTAGCAACCAAATGAATATACATATTATAATATATATATTATAATAGTATTAAAATAGCATGAATACTCCAGGTGTAAGCATTCCATTCTTATTTCTATTAAGATATAGCCATAGCCATAGAATGATATGAAAATTGGTTTTACTGCAATACTTCAGTGCTCCACTTTAGTGTTTCATTTCAGTGTTTCACATATATGTTTCATTTTAGAGTTACACTATGTTTTATTTCAGTTTCATTTCAGAGTTTCATTTTAGAGTTTCATTTCAGAGTTTCACTATCGTGTTTCAGTTAAGATTTTCACTTTAGTGTTTCAATTCAGAGTTTCATTTCAGAGTTTTATTTCAGTGTTTCATTTTAGTGTTTCATTTCATAGTTTCAATTTAGTATTTCAATTCAGAGTATCTCTTTAGTATTTTCACTTTAGTGTTTCATTTCAGAGTTTCACTTAGTGTTTCATTTCAGAGTTTCTCTTTAGTATTTCAGTTTTGTGTTTAATTTCAAAGTTTCATTTAAGTTTTTCATTTCAATGTTTCATTTTAAATGTTTCATTTCTATGTTTCATTCCAGTGTTCCACTGTAGTGTTTCATTTCAATGCTGCACTTTATTGTTTCACTTTCACTGTTCAGCTTTCATTCCCTTTTGCTATTTTATTCTACTTCAAATATTGAAAAGCTTCGCAGTTAACGTTCAAATAAGCTCCATTAAGAGTTGCTCCTAAAATTTATATAAAAATATCTTCAGTAATCGCTTTACGAGCAAATCGTGAGCAAATTATATAATTTAAGAGGCGCACCATCCAATTTTTATGATATTTATATTTATATAAGGAAACGCGTTATTAAATCTCTTGTTCTGCCTGATGTCCACGAGGAGTTCAGTGGGAGTCCTCGATGAGTCTTAGTCGTGGCAGTGGCTAAAGCTCGGAGTACACCCAGTGGAGCGCTTATCGCGGCCATCATCATTGACTGTAAGCCCAAGTGGCTGCCACGCCCCCTCACCCACCCCGCCCAGTTGGGCCATTGCTCCCACGTGGATCATTTCGTACAACATGATTTAATTAAAATTTAAACTTTATTTTTCTCATATTTTTTTTGGGGAATCGAAAATGGTCTCCCATTTTCCCCGTTTTTCCCGTTGGCCGTGTTTTCCCAGTTTTCCCTGTTTCCGGCCGACATTTTGTAAACAATGAAGACGTGTTTGCAATTTTTAAGTTTTTTACAAATGTTTTTGGCGTGCTGGGTCACAATATACCGCCACGCCTCCCCTTTCACTCAGCGCCGCCCAACTTTCTTATGCCCGTTCGCATTCAGAAGGGAGTATATTGATTTTGTGTGTACTTTGCGACTTGTTAGAGACTTGAATAATACTCAAGTGAAACTTTGTCTGATAGACTGGTAGACTATGTTTGCAATAAATAACTCAAAAATGATCTATGTGCGTCTCTTGGAGGCGTAATGAATTTAAAGAAACCAAAGCCTTTACATATATATATATATATATATATATATATAAATATATATTTTTTTGAGCTTGTAGCAGCTGGATCTTTCTACATCTTAATCTAAATCCCAAAATATTTATAATTCTTATCAATAATTTATTTTTTCAAGTGCAGCGAACGAGCATTGCGCAGTCGTTGCAGCTCGTCTGTCGCACTTTTTACTTGTTTTGTTTGGACTCTGTTTGTTAGCCAAGCGACGGACGCGCAATTAGACGGGCATTAGAGGCAAAAGGGGCAGTGGGGGGTGGGAGTGGGGGATTGGAGTTACAACTTAAGGGTATGTTGCGGATTTTATATATACATTTTAGCTCGCAATTATATATATATATATATATATATATATGGGAGTATATATATATTAATGTATTTAAAATATCATGTGCGAGCACAGCACGAGCGCGAGCCTTTGCATAAATGTGCCAATAATTACTTTCGCATACCCTTTCCCACAGAGACTGAAGTCATTTTGTTATCAAGCTTGTAACAGAGCTGAACTTTGTATAAGACATCATCATGTCTATAAATTATATATATTATATACATCAAATATTAAGAGTAATTGAAATTGATACAGTATAAAGTGGAGTGAGATCCGATTTTATATTTGTGAATATGACAGAAGAAAGTGTGGCAGACCTTATAAGGTAAATATATATTATGGGTAAAGGACAACAAACTCTTTCGATCAAGCCATATTTATTATATAATATATAGCATATATAGGTAAGAATCTTGTTAGCATGGTTTTCTTGCTTTGACACACTTTTTTCGCTTTTTATATATTTTTCATGTGATTATTATAACTCAAGATAATAAAATAATTGCTTAAAGACGAGTCTCCGTTTTTCTAGATATTATAGATATTCGTGATTTCATCAAATTCTACATTAGATGACTAAGAATTTAATTTCCATTAAAAGAATCGCTCAATGAAATTAATTTAAGTATAGAATGTTCTAATGATATCATAAAGCCTTTCCCTTGCGCGCTACTCTATTCCAAATTACTTTAAATAAATATGTTCAGATGGGTTGGACAAAAGAATTAACTGAAAATGAACAGCTTGATTAAAATTAACAAATTTTTGTCATGCATGAAAATAGTAGTGTAAAAAATGTTTACAATATATAAAACTCTCAGCTGAGCTCTTTATAAAACTAGAGTGTATAACTTTCACCACTTTATTTGCTCTTTTTTTTTGTTTTAATTTGAACTTTTTATATTTATATTTCCTTTAAGCGCGTATTTTTTATGCGCCACACAGATCGCATCAGTTACAAAACATAAAAAATAAAAAACAATAGAGTTAGGCTTCTAGAACAGGCCGAAAAGTACAAAAAAAAGGAGAAGGCGAAGCGACACGAGTTAATTAAAAAACTTGAAACAAATTTTTATTCAAATAGCCGCGAGAGTAAAAATGGGTTGACTTTATTTTTGAGGAGGCGCAATTAAAGAAAGTTATAAAAGAGGCAATGTAGGGAAGTATATAGAATTCTTGCAAGCTATAGAGCACGTATTGTCAATTAGAAATTATAATTAAAATCAATGAAACCGAAATAAAATTCAATAAAAGTTTGTAAATTGCAGAAAAGTCAGCGAAACAAAAAGAAAAATTAACATATTTTTGTATAAAATAATCTTCAGATATGAAGTGGGGATCTATTTGTTACATCTTCTTAATAATTCTAAAGGAAATTTTGAGCACAAAGTTAAAAAGTTTATAAGGAGATATAAGATTTTAAATGAAATATATGTATAAATATTTGTTTTTATTAACCTTTAATATAAATATATTTTTGGTTTATTTTTATATTTTTCTGTTTTCTTTATTTATATATTTTTTAATATATTAATTTTAATATTTTTTTGAAATATTACTATTAAGAATTTTTAGCTATTACGCATTTATGTTTACCTGTTTTCTACCTTCCCCACATTAAATTTATATTAAAATAAATTTACCTTTTCTACCTATTTATCTATTCGATCTATTTCACAGAAAAAACTCAATTTTCAATTATATTTCGGTTCAACCTTTGGGCTCTAAGTTTCTGCTTCTCAAACCTTAAAGTTTGACCAGCACTTCGCGTAGATGCTGATGTTTACCTTTGGAATTGGCGTTGAGCCCAGACCAAGAGAAAACAAGCAGAAAAAATGTGCTCGAGTGTGAGCGACTGAGCAATGCTCTGTTAAGCAAATATTTAAATTATATAAAAATGGAAATTTCATTTAGTTAGTATTAAAAAGAAAATTCAAAAAAATAATATCAATATTTAAAGAATACAAAATTAAATATTGAAATAATTAATTTTAGGCTTTTCATTCAAAAGCTTTTTCTTACGAAAAGTAGCTTTTGGGCAAAAGCTCTGCAAGGCAGTTGAGCTGCTATGCATGTGTATTAAGAGCTTAGAGAGAAGGAGTAAGAATTAGTTCCTGGTTCGAATCTTGTGTTGCCTATGATTTTTTTACAAAGTAATTATTTATTTATAGAGGAAAGCTATAATTAGCTTAAACGCAACTTGTTTTCACATAAGAACTCTGCTTGGCATGCAAGAGGTTCCTGGTTCGATTCCTGGAACAACCATAAACATTTGCTTATTAATTGAGCAATTATTTTTAAATAAGCTTTCCGAGAAGGACTCTGAATGACAGCAGTGGTTCGTCCTGTGAGTCCTGGTGCGAACATTTAATTTGTTTCATTATTTTTACTGACGAAATAATTATTTATTTATAACTAAAGGCTTTATTTAGCTTGAGCGCTAGGATTAGACCTGAGAAGCGTAGGGTTCCTGGTTCGAGTCCAGCTGCTGACAGATAATTTGTTTCATTTTTAATTGTGACTTGACGACGCAATTAGCTATTTATAGCTGAAAGCTATAAATAGATCGGATGCAAGTAGCTTTCAGTGAGAGTGCTCTGCCCGGCATGCGGGACGCTCGAGGTTCTGATGCCATTAAGAAATTCTTTTTAATTAATTTTTTTTTACAAGTAAATTTTAGAAGCCAATATACTCTTATTATTCACTCTTTGGACAGCGTATCGAAAGGGACAAGGCTTTTAGTTATTCTCATTTTCATTTTCAATTTTTTTTTCATTTTGTTGTTATTTTCGGACACAAGGGCCACACACTTGAGCATACACATGGCGCTTCAAGTGCTCCCGAACAACAACAGCAACAAGAAGAAGAAGAGGGCAAACAGGAAGATTCGTGTTTTATGCCGCGCGTTTCGTTTGATTTGCGAGTGGGTGGCCGAGTGGGAATTTGAATAATTCCCGCATATCGCCTAAAGGCACAAACTCTGGTATCAGCCACGCCCCCAGTACCGCCATTCCGCAGTGCCCGTGCGCCCACCTCGGCTAATGCGTTTGTAATAGGGAAAAGCGGAGCAGGGGCGACCCTCACGTGACTTTAAATGCCGTCAGCCCTCGTCCCGGAATGTGAAATGAGCAAATAAATGCGCGAAGGGCAAAAGGGAACTCACCTGTCGCTGCCACGCCCACATCCGTTAGATTTGTGGGCGGTGTGGCCGGATTGACGGCGGCTGTGAAACGTGACGATAGATTCTGCAGTTCCACTTTCTTAGCCTTGGATATGTTAAAGAGGTCGCCCCCATTGCCCAGAGGGGAGTCGACCCGAGGCGTGGCAATCGTAACAGATCCCGTTGCCACGCCCACTGGCATCATATTGGCCTCGCCAAGTTGGGCTGGTGGCGTGGGGGAGGCTGAACTGCTGCCCAGCACCTGAGCGAGCTTTTTTCCCAGCTGCAATGCCATCCGCTCATCCGGCGAGCTCTCCGGCGTAATCAATAGCTCCGTATGCAACAGCTCCGCTTCGAGCGCCTGCTCAGTCTCTGGCTCCAACTCATGAGCGATGCTCAAGTATGTGATGCGACTCAAGCTCAAATTGGCGATCTTATCAGCACGACAGCGACGCTTCAGCTCAAGCAAGTCCTTATTGTTCAGATCTAAAATCAATTAGCAAATATATATATTATTTAGATACCGATAAGATGAACGTTTAATTTGAATTTGGCTGAAATACATAAAGGCAACGGTTGAAGTACTTCCAATTTGAATTCGCATAAGATTCTTTTAAGACAGTTGCATTAACAAGAAGTATCCATTTATAGTCACACTTATTCTTATAGGAATTCAATTATTGACCACTCTTTAGATCTTATTCGAATGGGCTTACTAAATGTAAATGTTTTGACTTCAACAATTTGTCGATTGTTTTTCAATATGTTGATTCAATTAGAAGTAAAATTCGTATAAGTAAAGATACTCCAATTAAAAAATCGTATTAGTAACTGTTGAGTACAGCACAACAATTCTAATATGACAGATTCTCTTAGCAAACATGTGCAAGTCAAATAAGAATTAAGTCTCATATGTGCTTAGTTACCAAAGAGCGAATCAGAATCATTGCTGGAAGATGAAGAAGTAGAAGCAGATGTAGAAGAAGTCATGGAAAGGGAGTGCAGTCGCTGCTGCTGCTGCTGCTGCGGCGCTGACTGTGACGCTGACTGTTCTGCTGGCTGCGTCAATGTGTTGGTCGATGCATAGCAGCAATCGTCGCTGCTGCAGTTGTGAAACTCAGCAGAATCGCTGTTGTAGTCCAGGCTGACGACGTCATCTGGCAGCACAGAAGAGGAAGAAGAAGTAAAAGACAAAGAGATAGAGAGATGGAGACAGAAGTGCGATGAGCTAAGTGCCCAAAAATATTTCAATTGAAATAGCAAAAATAAATATATATGTATAAATATGTACAGAGAAATAAAATTCCGTTGATTTATGGCTTGCGGCTCATTGAGAAAACCGCGACATGTGTAAAATATAACAAATAAATAAAAGTAAATTAAAACAAAGCACCACTGGAAGGCGGCACAAGAGAGACTGAGAGAGCGAGGGATTGAGAGCAGAGAGTGCGTGCTCTCATTGGAATAGGCCAAACAAAACGTAAACTGTAAACCATAACGCAGAAAGATTTATGAAAATCCATATGGAAAATGAACTCAAAAGCGAAAGGTTAAACATAATGACAAATAAGCAGAAAGAAAAACCAAAAAAGTAAAGCAAACAAAAACAAAACAAAAAACGAGGGACCCAGCCCGAAAACTGGTTTTTGGTTATGGCTCAGCGGGCGAAACGAGCGGGTAGGCGGGGAAGCGGGAAGTTTCGGGAATGGGCACGGGAATGCCAAAAGCGGCGTCACTTTTCTTTCATTTCATTTGTATTTTGTTGTTGTCCAACAAATTCGTTGTTTAATATGTTTAGCAAAACAAAGACATAAACAAACAACTGTAAAAGGTAAACTGTTCCATTTATCACTAACTCTTCTTCTCGCCTTCTTCTTTTCGCGTTTAGGTATCAATTTTCGTTTGTTTTTGCAAAAAAAACTTTACGCGTCGATTCTAACACAACTTTTCACTTTTCATACACACATTTTTCCAATTAGCCGCGGCGACAACAACAACGGCGAATGCAACAACGACGGCGATAACGACGGCAACTTCAACTTGAACGATCTGCGCGGCACCAAGTGCAAAGCGTAACTAACAACAACAAGAGCAACTGGTTTATAGGGGCCAGCACATGTGAGCGTAGCCTGGAAGTCGAGGCTGAGAACGCGTGAGAGCGAAAGCCCGCGAGCGTGAGAGCAATTCCGGGGGCTTGTTGTTGGCGGCTTAAAGCTGTAATTTAAACGGTGCACAAAATGAACAAAGGGCTTCAAAGCAAACAAAAGCAACTGGAATCAATATATAAATTAATAAATTGTACTAAGTGTTATAACCTGTTATAATTTCAATAAACGGGAAGCGCTGCTTGCGTTGCAAATAGCATAAAAACAGGAGAGGACATGGGAAGGCGTGAAAAGCCGTGAGAAGGGAGCGAGCTTAAATTAGAGTCATGCTCATGTTCATAGTGTGATCTGGTTCGGTTGCTTCCTTTAACTGCACATAAATACCTCGAAATGAATAAAATAACTTTTCTGTTTAATTAACTAATGTTTTTGTTAAAATCTAAATTCTAAAATCTAAATTCTCTAATTTTAATGTAGTGTTTTTTAATAAAAGCTGTAGAGGATCAGCGTTGCATACTTTTAGACGTTAGGTTTGAAATTTCGTTGCAAAGCTGGCAACGTATTAGTTGCATACTTTTAGGGAGCTTATGAAAAGCATTGAGAATGGAAAATTTAAATAAAATAGGACATTTTTAGGACTGCTAATTTTATATATACTTCTGGAAGCAAAAACGTTAAATGACTGATGGGGAAGATGGCGCTAGTATTGACATTAGCATTAGCAGGGGCATTAGCATTAGCATTAGTATTAGCATTAGCATTAGCATTAGCATTAGCATTGGTGTTGGCATTGGCATTTTCATTAGCGTTCACATTGTCATTGTCAGTGCAATTTTTCTTATGATGATGCCTATATATACCATTATCCTTATCACAACGTCTTAGCCATTTTATTTTCATTATGCTTATCCTAAATATCCTCATTGTAACCAGCATCTTTGTAAGTTATTCATATACCCAAAAATAAGTTTCGCAAATTTCTATCAAAATTGCCCCTAAAAGTTTTGTAGGATGAAAACCCTTGCGAAATAGTTGTTTGAAATTAAATTCCATAACACACACAAACAATTATTGTTAACAACATTAAACCGTTGTTAAAACTCCGTAACGAGCAGGCAGAGTGAGAGAGAGGGAGAGGGAGATAGAAACAACGTGGAGTGTTAGAAGTTTACAAGGAAAACTATTAAAACTAATTGCCATAAATATTAGCGGCCCGCCACGTGGCAGCCCCAACTTTTTTATATGCAGCACAAAGTGTGTAGGTGTGTGTGTGTGTGCAAGCTGTGTGTGTTGGTGTGTGTATAGGCTCTTAATTGAGCACGTCGTCAGTTGTTGTTGTTGTTGTTGTTTTGGTTGCAGTTGGCGCCCAAAACTAAGCCGCGAACGCATTTCGACCTCCCAATCGCCCCGCCAGGCTGGCTGCCCCTCTCTCTCTTGGCCCTCCTCTGAGCTGCTTTTTATATTTTTGCAAATGGAGGCGGCTTGCTGCTGAGTTGTGCTTGGGGCCCATATGAATTATGAATTTATGCATTGAAAGAGGCTCCCGAAAAAAAGAAAGCAAAACGAAGCGAATTTTTGTTGTGTGTATGTGAAATGAATGCGGCACGTCACAGGGGGTAGGGTGGGCACTGTCTGTGTGGGCGTGGCAGCTCAGCTATCTCACGCTAAAAAGGGAATTTTTGATAGCAGCTCTCTGTCTGCCCCCTCTACTCCCTCTCTCACTCTCTCGCGCCTTGGCACGTTTAGAATTTTTCGTTGATTTGATTTTGGACTTTGGAGTCGCTGCAATGGCAGCCATGCAGCCGCCTTTCAATTGCTTTTTGATATAGACAGCCGCCGCACCCACCCCCACCCACTTAACCGCCCACTCGACCCGCAGCCTCTCCAAATTCCCGCGATCTGCCAGCTTTTCTCTCCAGCTGGAAACGCGTCTTTGTAAACAGCCAAAAGCAGCGCCACAGCATGCTCCACCAGCTCTTTTGGCGTCAATTTCTATACCCTACACTCGGCATGGGGCTTGACTATGGTCAGTATCTAGTCACGTCGCAGTTGCAAGAACAATTTTCTTATGATTTTCTATCTATAAGAAATATGTTTTGACAGGGCAAGAAGCTATCTTCATGCCCTTGCATTTTTTTGATTTAATAAGGAAAAACTATTAATTCTAGATAGAATAATAGGGAAGAATAAAGATGCTTCCATATGATTCTGTGTAAAAATAGAATAGCAAGTTACAGGATACAGTTCTAAGGAATAGAGCTGATTCTCTAAACATTTAAAATGAACTGGCTTACTATTACTATTGCTGAATGAGGAATGACGAGCAAAAGAATCAAGAAAATATATCTAATATTGGGCCCATTTCTATCATTTCTGTCTAGTCTAAATAGTTTCTAATAGTACAATATTAAAAACTATATAAGATCAACTCATATATCAAATAAAATCTTTTCATTTTGCTTTGCTTTGCTTTTTATAAAATACATTTTTATAATAATTTTATAATTTATAAAAATTCTTAAAGACATTTCTGCAAAGTTTGGTTGAAGAAATGCTTGAAATTTTATAGATATTAATAAAAACTTCAAAAAATATTTAGGATTTCATAGGAAAATATTAATGGAAACTGAAATGAAATGCTTAGAATATTTTTGATAGGAATTTTGAAAAATATTTAAGCTAATTATCAATAAAGAATTCTTAAAAATATTTCAGAAAATTTTTAAAAATTCTTAAAATTATTATTGCATATTAAGAAAGTCTACAAAATATTTTAGCACTATTTTAATCAAGAATTTTATAAAATATTAAGTAAATTTTTGTGGAAAAAATGCTAAAAATATTATGGGAAATGTTTTAAGAATTTTGAAAAATACAAACAAGTTTCAAAAAGATTTAATTAAAAATTCTTAAAATTTGTTGATTAAAAGTTAAATATATTTAGGGCCACTTTGTGATTCAATTAATTGAATTTCTAAAACTATTAATATATATTATGCTATATACATACAATAAATACAAATGAATTTATAATCTAAAATACCTAATTCAACCTTAAAATTCTAGTTAAATCTAGTTTCGTGTGAGAAAATTTCATTTTTTTCTAGTTTTACTGCTGCGGCAAAGAGTCGTTTAGACTACGCAACCCACACTCAATTAGGGCATTAGAACGTCGTCTCAATAAGGATATTAACTCAATGCGTTTCGCTCATATTTCAATTTGTTTGTAGCCCCTCGCAGGATGCGGGGCGCTAGAACAGTTTGCAGCTTCTTCCACTTCTACTACTTCTTTTTTTAAGTCAGCGCGTTTTTATTTCTGCTTCTTCTTAATAGACAGTCGACTTTTTGAAGTGGGTCGCTGCGCGCTCTCTGTATGTGTGTGTGTGTGTGTGATATGATTGAGAACGTGGCCCGCTTTGTAGTGCGGAGTCAAAAGTCATACTCATATATTTTGCAGTTATTTTCTTACATATATGATATATGTGTTTTTTTTTTAAAGTCAGCATCTCTTAAAGATTTCACATGAATAACTAAAATCTATAAATTTTTGATTTCACTTTGGCTTGGTTGGGCGAGAGGCGGACGCAAGTAAAGATATTATTTTTGCCAGCCAAAATGCCAATAAGTTACGAGTGCCAACAGGCTGTAGGGAACTCGAAAGTTTCTCAAGAGAGACGTAGTGAGTGTGTGTGTGTGTGTATGAGAGAGAGAGGGGAGATATGTGGATACACAACTACTGTAAGCCAGGGCAGAAACAAACAACGCCAGCGGAAAAGTAAAGCTCAGAGAAATTTCTAACAGTCAAGAGCGCAGGCGAAACAACAAAAGCGGATTGCCAGATGGCGGGATATTCAGGCTGTAGAGAATGGGATATATCTGGGATGAACAAGGAAATAAAAAGAAAGTGCACAAAATTTCATAAAACTTCAATGAAAAGTTTCGGGCCTTGTTCCTCATTCTTTTTTCTATTTTCGAAAAACTTGCACGAAAATTCTTATTTAAACTACGCTTAAATTGCAATAAGTCGACGGGCTGAGAATGCGAAGGAGATAGAGCGACTGTGAGGAACAGAGATAGAGAGAGAGAGAGTGAGAAAGAGAGAGCGATACTAGTTACAGAGAACTGCACGGATTTAGTGTGAGCTGCAGGCTTCCAAGCGAACTGTGTAATAAAACAAAAGTCAGCAAAAGTTCAAAATGAAAACAATGCAAAAATATGAAGTATTTGGCATACTGAACTAAGTAATAATACAACAAGAAATAGGCGAGATATCGACTATGATATGCCTAGAAGTGATGACAATGTTAAGAATATTACTTCAAGCAACAGTTGTCTGATGACAATGACAATGACAATGACAATGACAATGACAAAGACAATGACAATGACAATGACAATGACAATGACAATGACAATGACAATGACAATGACAATGACAATGACAATGACAATGACAATGACAATGACAATGGCAATGGCAATGACAATGACAATGACAATGACAATGACAATGACAATGACAATGACAATGACAATGACAATGACAATGACAATGACAATGACAATGACAATGACAATGACAATGACAATGACAATGACAATGACAATGACAATGACAATGACAATGACAATGACAATGACAATGACAATGACAATGACAATGACAATGACAATGACAATGACAATGACAATGACAATGACAATGACATCAGTTGTGTTAATAATAAGCAAAGATCAGCTTGTATACCAATACACTCTGTTATACTTATAGCAAGTGCTGCATTGCTTAAGGCTAAACTGTTATACGCTTTCCAGCCTTAGGTGCGGGTATTCCAACGGCCCTGATTTGCTTGGTTTGGCGATTGAAACAGGAACACAAAAAAGTAAAAAAATTGAAATAAAATTTGCGGACAAACTGAATTTGGACAGCGATAAAAAAGGGGAGAAGAAGAAGAATAAGTCGAGTAATAACAATCAAAAGCAAAAACAAAAAACTGAACAAATATTGTTGGTGAACTTTGAAATTGACTTACGAAAATCCATTTGTTCGGCACTGGCATTCAATTGTCCGTGGCCCACATCCGGCGGAGTCCAGTCCGCTAGCGGTGAGGCGGGCAGCGACGTGGGCGACACCGGCGGAGTTGCCTGCAGGAATACATCTCGTTTCTGCTTGACATAACGGCTAAAAACTCGCGCCTGCTGATGGCTGCTGTTGCTGCTGCTGTTGCGTCTGTCCTCCAGCGCCGCCAAAGGTGGCATGCAACCAGGACCGTGCCGCCCACCCGCTGCCAGGCGTAGAAAACTGCCCGTTGCCTGCGGCGAGCTGCTGCTGCCTGCCGCCCGATTCTGACCATGTGCATTGCCCATTGGAGCTGGCTCTAAAAGATTGAGCTGACTTTGATTCGGAGCAGCACTTGGCGGCCACAACTGCTGTGGAGGAAGAGAGAAAGACAGAGGGTGAGTGGGTAGAGAACTTTTACGAAAATCAATTAAAAAAGTTTTCAATCAGCCGCATTGTTTGGGTTGATTTTCTACTTTTTCCTTCTCTCATTTTTCTTCTTTTTTTGGCTGTTGCTACAAAAACTTTTCTGTTGCAGAAATATGAAATGAATTAGTTCAGGTAGGGTAAAAGTTCTGTCTCGATTTCTATAGATATCTGTGCAATATATATATACATATATATATATATTTGATATATTTTATGACTACTTTTTGGCTGGCGGCCACCGCAACGTTGAGTTTTGTGTTCGTCTAGCGTCGCTTGGGCAACTTGCAGCGCGCAACTTGCAACAAGCTGCAAATTGAACTTTTACTTTTAACAACTGTGGCGCACTACAGCAACGACTCAATAATGATCATTAAGCAACAATCGAATTCTCATTCGCAAATGGCAAAAGCATTGAAAGCGACAAAATTTCGAAGCTTTTCAGCTTTGTTTGAGCACATTTCAAGGGTTTCCCATTTCAACTCTGAATTTTTTTTAGAAATTCTTATGAAATGCTTTTTAGAAATTGAAAAATATAAATTGAAAACAAAGTTCTTAAAGCTAAAATATTTAAAGCGACGTCTTTATAAAAAAAAAAACATATTTGAGCGCTTAAAACTTAATAAAAAAAATAATAAAAATAATATTAGTTTTGATGTATGTCTTCAATCAATTTCATTGAACTGAAATTTATACGTATATTATATATAGATAAATATATCCATATCTGCGAATAAAAATAAAATTTAAAGATATCTTCTTCACATAATTTATCGCTAGCTGATAAACCTATAAAAAGTTTTTGTTTATGAAAAAAAAAAAAAAAACAATTTTACGCGATAAAAATTACAAGAAGAAAATATGAAATTCAATAAAAAATAAATAATTGATAAAAATTAAATAAAAAATATATAATAATTTTACTTAATTTGTATTATTATTTATTTTGAAGAAAAAAAATAATAAAAAAATTTAAAATACAATTCAAATGTATTTATAAAAGAAAACCTTTAAAATATAATCTATAGTTAAATAAATGGAAATATGTATCTTAAAGATACAACATTAAAAAACGCAACTGTAAAATATAACTCAAATATTTGCCTATAAAATTATCCCTAATTGAAACAAATTTTATATAGCGCGTTTTCTCTGAAGTATTATAAATTCTATATATTTCTCTCCCTCCCTTTCTCTGTCGCTCTCGTTTTTTTCCACGGCGTCTACATAAATCACAATAATAAAACAAATTAGCAACAATATTTTTTATCGCCCAAGTATTTTATTTTTATACTAATTGAAATACTTGGGCGGGGCGGCATAAGGTGTGGCATGGCCCGGCGTTTGTTCAAAAATTTTTAGCTTAAAATTAATTGTTGGCCATAAATTTGTTTTAGTTGGTTGTCCTGGACACGGCAACAAAAATGAAAGGGCGGCATGGATCGCCCACAGTGAGTCACGCGCGCTGCATAATGAGAGGCATATCTGTATGTGTGTGTGTGTGTCCTTTGCCTAAATCAGTTTTCAATTATAACGAGAGAGAGGGAGGGAGAAAGCGAAAAATAATGACGCAAACACTTGAGCCAAATTGTGTCAAAAGCGCAATTTACTACAATTTGCTGTAACGAAAACGAAAGCGAAAGCAAACACACACACACATACGCACGCACAGTCTCTCTTTAACACACACACACACAAACATAAGCTGGCTGTTACAAACCTCAGCAGCACTTCCGTTGCAATTTATACAAATCTGTTTCGCCTTCTTATGCTCCTTTTCTTTTAATTGTTTTTGTTATTGTCGTAGTTGCGTTTTGCTTTGTGCTAATGCGGCAAGTTCGTGACAGCCTCAATTTCCGCTCTCACGCGCGCTCCTCTCTATCGCTCTCTCACTCACTGCCGCAACGCCTTGCTTAAATGCATAGGGGATTTTGTGTGTTTTGATTTGATTTCTGTTTATCACGACGCGTTTTTCTTTACGTTTGCGTTTTCGCATTGCAAAACACTGGGAAATTGTTTAATAAATTGCAACAAAATGCGGCACAACAAAAATTAAAATCTAATTGCAACTGCAACCGCTGCAGTAGTCAGAAACGTGGCGTTTGTGTCAAATGCATCACGTAAACAACACGAAGCGTGTTACGTTTGCCGAAGCGACGCAGCGGGAGCCGAACCCGAAGTTTTCGCCGTCGTCAGCTGGCTTTGGCCTAGGACAACAAGTAAGGCAACGGCGACGAGCGAATTTGTCGAAGCGGCGAGTGGAAAAATCGATGGCACACTGAACAGCAAACCAAGCCGCCAGCAAATCGCCGCAAACGCAGCGAATTGCCAAAGCAAAATGATGAGAGCGCAGCATAACAAGAGAGCAAGAATAGGAGAGAGTAAACGATAACAGCTGAGCGTTTGTTGTCGAAAAGTTGTGTTTAGACTGTTCTAATCTTTCTATGCGCTGCACTTCATATATGAAGAAACAAACATGAGAATATACTTGAAAACATTAATAGTTTATCTACGTGTTTAGTAATGTAGGATTCGATTATATGGAAATTTAATTTCCTACTTAATATTCTCTTAATTAACACATACTATGCTCACTGTAGCGCAAATGCTAGTCTATATAGCCTATGCCTGCAGATAATTAGCATTTAGAGCTGTGGACTTCACCTCAGACTAAGCATTATACGCTTTAAATGACTCATTGTCCAGTCACAAACACAAACACAGCCATAAAAACAATCGCAAACGTTATTTTTATGAGCTTTCCTCAGACTTAAACACTGATAGCAGAGCCCAAGCCTTATCAGAGGAGCAAGGGGAAAAGGGGCTGGGGCGAATTGTCAAATGCAAATAGGCACGAAGTACACAATATAAAAATAAAATTCCATTTACTCATTGGTTAAGTGATGATAAAATGTTTAAGCACACGGCACAATCGTTGCTGCTGCTCTTGTTCCTCTCTCAGTTTTCATTGTTCTAGTGGTCAGCTTTATTGGAAGGTTTTTTTATGTTTTTTGAATTGATAAAAAACGGGGGAATATCACAGTGTGTGAATAACCGACGATTGCATGCGCTATAAATAAAACGTGGGTCACATGTAAATTACCGGGTAGATGCTATTGCTATATATTAAAGGTCTGAATGACTGAGTGTATTTAATTAGATTATCTATCTGAACTAATTGATTGACTGGTTGACCGATGAGAAATGTTATAAAACAAGGCAATATATATATTTATATATAAGGCAATATATGTGATTAAGATAGTCTCTTTCTTAGTATGAAGGTTTTCTAATCTATACAAATTCTAGTGTTAAGTGATTAATTGATAAGTAACGTCATAAAACTCTTTAATGAAGACAGTATAGATTGACTGAAGTAAATTAAATAAGTTTTCGTTGACGTAGAATAAAGTAATAATATATATAAATATATAATAATTCGAGCTGAAGTGCTTGGCTGATTAATTGATGAGAAATGTGATATAATATTGCAATAGCTAATTTAGATAAGTTTTGTGTATATAACTTCGATATATGATTTTGAAGTAATTTATATGTAATTGTGACTGATTGATTGATAAGCAAACTTGTAGAGCAATATAATATAATTGTATTATAAAAAATTGGTTAAGTACGTTGACGTAGATTGGAACAGCAATCTATTCATGGAGATAAGTTGATTGATTGACTGATTGATTGACTGATGAACTGATTGATTGATAAGTAATGATACATCACATTGCATTTATAGATATATATGCATATATATGTATATATATATATATATATGTAGTGGTAACTTGGGTAACTTATTTGTCAGTGCTTGGATTGATTGAGTGATTGAACGATTGAATATCATTGTACAGCCCAAACAGAAACATCTAGAGAAATAAATTTTGTTCTTTCCATAATAATATTAGGTAATACTATATAGAAAGAGACTTCAATATCTACTCTTCATTTTAATATTATGTTATTGAAATATTCATAGCTGTGTAGAGCATTTGGACTGTTTGAGTTTCCCTTATGATGGAAGTGCTAATTTTTTTTTGGACTCTCCGATTTCGGTTTCAATTTGATATTTGTATATTTTTTCGCACTTTTTTGTCAGCGCGCTTGTTTGCTTTTGTGGGTCACGAGTGTGTCAATTGAGTGTAGGAAATGTTGCTGTTGTTGCCCGCTTGATAAGCCGTTTATGGCACTGATAAGGCAAGCGACTCGACTCGAGCAACGAGTGCAGTTTTTTTGGGAGCTCTGATGAGTTCGCTTGGGGTTGACTGTGCGCCTGGTGGCACGTAGCACAGTTGTAAAGTGTGTGCCTCATTTGAAACGAGGCAGACTAACAAGGGGCTTAATTAGCCAAGCGCCGAGAGATTTTCATATTAATTTGTCTAATGCAAAATGCATGCAAAATCCACACAAAAGTTGAAAGTCATTTAATTAATGTGGAGGAGCGACAGAGAGGAGAGAGGGGGAGGGGGAGAGAGGCGGCAGCCTCAGGGGTGGCACTGAAGCCATGTGACACATTGTTTGACAAATTGCAAGACGCACGATAAACTGCTAGCAAAGTTAACAAAATCATCAGAGCTGCAACAGCAGCAGAAGCACACACAAAGTTTAATGCCAGCAGGCAGCTAAAGCTGCTAAGCTCGGCTACAACACGTGCGCGTGCTGCACAGTTGCAACAACAACAAACGGCGCATGATCGACCAGCAGCTGCTGTGTAGCAATAGAAGAAATCCAAGGACTGCTGCTGGCTGTAAGCACAAAATATCATATCCCATTGGAGTCGTTCAATTATTACAGGGTATAGCAGACAACAATGTTGCACACGAGCCTCGCTAACTCCTGCGGGCGTAGCAAGCAAATGCTGCTGCTGCTGCGCTGTTGCTGCTGTTGGTGTTGTTGATGACAACGCGAAAAACGCGGCCACGCGGCGTAT